AATTTCTAATGATATGGATAATGGATTTCTACAGAAATTCACATGGATGACGTAGCGGTCAAAGTGTTAATGCTTAACTAATCTTCTTTCAGATATATAAATTGCTAGAGTTGTAGTCGAATCGTCAGAATGCTAAGAATTCAGTTGCAGCACCGACTCTCACTATCGGGACAGGACAGGGGACAGAATGGTCACGCCGATCGGCCCTGCCCTACCCTATCCTGGCCCAATAATGCGAATCGGGAACGACTACATTTTCACGGGATTTTCCGATCCTATGGTGTCGATCTTCTGTCCTCGAGAACGACGAGCCTCGAATAAGTCCAATTCTCAATATCGGGACAGGACAGGGGACAAAATGTATTTGCCGATCGGCCCTGCCCTGCCCTATCCTGACCCAATAATGCGAACCGGGCATGATCCTTGAAGTTAAGATAGTCCAATTCATGATGTCCACTCATGAAATTGAATTTGAAGATGAAGTGCAAGGAGAAAGGTTGAAGAGGATTCTTCGGATTGTTCTAACACTAAAATGGAATGATTAGTTGGTTTATTTAACGCTTTAAGTATTATGCGCCATTAGTAACTTGTGTCTGTTACTTTGTGTTACGAGGTATTATTAAAAGACTCAGATGTGAGGAAGCTTTTAATTGTAGGTAAATATTTGTTTATTCACGCAAACGCAAAGATTAAAATATCCTAAGGCTTAGGCTATTAGTATACTAAATATACTAGGTAATGCGTTGTAAACTATATAGATAACACTCTCATATGCGAGTAACGTTGAAAATCTTAATAAAAAATATAGAATCCTGAATAAAGTGAAATATTAATTTACAAGGTCGAAAAATATTGTATTTTATATATAAAAAAAAAAAATACAGTAAATAAATCATAAACTATATACTCCAAACGGTAATAGAGAAATACCAGTTCTTTGCCTCTCTGTTCCGTTACATAAATATTTATTTGAACAGCTGTGAACGATTAAAAGCTAAACAGACAATTTTAGCAATTGACTCACCGGTAGCTGAACCGGATGACGATCCCGCTTCGCCGATTACATTCGCCCCATGAGATTGTTTCACTCTTGCAACTCCGCTGGGTAACAACACGGCGTTTTTAGCCAGCAAACCAGTTGCCGATGTAGGCTTCACATCTACGTTCTTCATCTTTTCCCGAATAATTTTGGCATCGTCTTTGCCTTCCTTTTTTTCGTCCGATTTCCCTTGTTCCTGAGCTGAACTCTTCTTCATCTTATCTACTGATTTTCCTCATGAAGAGCTTGAGATGGAACTTGTGATTTATGGTCTCGATAGGAACTGTGACATGATAGCGGTTGGAATCTAAAAGAAAAAAAAAAGAAATGAAATTTGAATTTGATTTCCAGCTGAATTGAATTTTATATTTTCCCGCTAATTTCTTGCAAAGCAAATTTCCGGAATTAATTTATGATCTTTTAATCAATTTTTGCTCCGAAAATATCTAAATTGATGTAATAAATCCTTAATCGTCGATTATAACGATCGAAAATAACAGTTCGAAAGCATCATGGGAAATAAAAAAAGATGGCGGACAAACATGGCGGTCAAAAGGAACGGTTAAAAAAAAGAAACAACCTCGACAGTTTCGCATATTAAAAGCGAAAGTAACAGGAAAAAACAGTTACGTAAAGTGACTATAATAATTATGGGAAATATTCCGATGATGGTAGAATTAGTTTTCAAAATAAACACAAAAATAGCTTCCTAGAGGTGTATCTAAATTGCCGGAATTCACTACTGTATGAGATTGATTGATAAATAGAATTTTATCACGGTCATTTAAATTTCTCATAAAGTAGCACACGAATAATGTGTATCATTAAGAAATAATGATTGTAAAAATTTAGAAAGTGAAACACGTAAGAGGATGCCAGATATTGGTATCACTTTCTCTTCGCATTTCATAAATAATAAGATTAAAACCCATTTCTTGGCGAAAGATACTTCCTTTTCGTAAAGTGTTTATAAAAATGATATAATATCGAAAAGATTACTTTCAACGCCACGTCCACTTTTCGAAAACGTCACGTGACCCTCAACAATTCGACACAAACAATCAAAAAACGTCTGGAATTATTTTTAAATGCTTACGCAGCCGGGTTCAAAGTTTTAATGTTATTAATATTCATGACCCTTGAAGAAAGTTCATTTATTCGTTTGATAAAAATAATGCAAAGAATTTAGTAGACGCGTGTGAATAAATTCACGTAAACAACGAGAAAACAACAAGGCACAGGAATAAGTAAATAAAATAAAAAGGGTAGACGATGAAAAATAAACCACGATAAAACGTTGAACCTACTTCGAATAAACCGATATCCGAGGTGCACCGAATTCTATTAAATAAACTGTCAACGGATGCAGAAAAAGTATACGATGACACGAGGTTAAAGACTTGAAACGACATGTCGGAAACAGAAACAGAAATGGAGTGAGACAGCTGATTTATGTTACGAAAGCTACGTGCAATATTGTGCGCAAAATAATACAGAACAATCGTTCCGTTATATTACATAAAATTTTGCAGAATTATCAGTTTACAGCAGTGTATGAAACATTGTGTTTGAATGAGTCATAACGTTTAACAAAATAAGACCACGTTAATTCCGCCTTAAAAGCAGCGTTGAACAACTAATACAGGGTACGCAATAAACGAACGATAATAAAACAATACTATCAGTAACAGTAACAATAAAATTAGCAAAAAATATGGAAACAAATAGTTATTTATTTTCCATAAAGTTCCAGCAGCAGACATTTACAAACAGTAGATAAATTAGCTACAGGGAAGGGTTCGCATTAAACCGGACGTACTCGTTCGAAAATAATCTATGAAGTTGCAGTTAAGAAGGATGAGACTCACTCCCATATGGAAATATTAATAAAACGATAATCAAAGTTAGCCGCGGGTGGGGAGCGAAACGAGGTGAAGAAACGGAATTGCTTGATTCCACGGCTACACCCGAATCATTTCTCGTCTCGAAACGAATCCTATAGTTCTTGACAAATCATTCGACGTATAGGATATTGTAAGAAAATTAGCTCCGAATCGTATAGTGAAAAACATGCGATTCGAGAACGATTGATTTCGCGAGACAATATCACGGCGCAAAGCCGCACGCTCGTGAGCTAACCTCAAAAGTGCGATCAGCAATCATGAGCCGCATGTCAGGTCGGAAAACGTAGGAGCCAATTTCACCGCACTATACCGCTACGCCGTTAACTCAGCACGAGACGCGGCCAATAATAAAATCACCAAGGATAATGAGCGTTCTTTGTAGAGTGATAAGGAAGCAAGTGGCCACAAAGTGACATTCACCCTATCGTATACACGCACGCGCGCACATTGATGCTATGCCCTCTCCCCTATTCCTTCGGCCCCTTCCCCCCCCCGCTTGCGATTGAATCGACCTCTAGCGAGCTCTCGAGAATCAGTCATCGAGAGTCTTCGAATCGTTCCGAGTCTTTGCGTCGAAACAAAGTTATTTTAAAAGAAGTTTGAAAAAAAGATTAATAAAATAGGTAAACGAGTGAAGTAAAAGAACGTAGTATGGAGTCTGAGAAGTTATCGTTCATTGGGACATGTATTATGTTGCTATTTCTTCATCATGCATTTCTGTGTAACATCTTTTTCAAATCAATTTCTAGTGCCAGTAATCACTCTCACTTATAAAAAAAAAAATACATACTGATCGAATTGAGTAACCTCCTCCTTTTCGAAGTTGGTTAATAAAAAAAGAAAATACATTTACTGTAAACTTAACGCTTGATATATAAGTGTTGTATTGTAACTTACAACTTGTATTTGCAATTTCAAACCTTAACAATTATACCTATATAAGTTTGGTTTTAAATTTTACCTGTAAGAAAGGAACGATCGATACATCGAAACCTGTTGCCCGCATATGTAAACAGCTACCTAGAAGATAAAATACGGTCAAACATTAATCAACGTGTCGTTTAAAATTAACAGTACATGTATGTAGGTCTACAAGAAACAGCAATAATACTGATGTAATTATTAATGAAATGTTTTTGACTAATATTTACGTACGTCAAATAAAGGTCATCAACTGTGTATAAGAAAAGAAGTAAACATATCAAGTTATCGCTTATCGCTTATCGACCTGTTAAACGATGTTGTAAGTCGAAACTACAAGAAACAAGTACTTATCTGTTCTCACGTAATACACACATTCTATGAAATTACTGATATCGCTCATGAGGGCATCGTTCCCATCGCTACCTGGCGGCCATCTTACTCACATCCTATCCCCGATTTGCCAAATATCTCTCCAGCACATAAAAGGTCGTAAGTCCCAGCTCAGCGAGCGGTTATAGCGATTGCGCGTATTCCATATAGTCAGTGCTGATGAAGGTGTAAGCATAGCTTCTGCGAGTGGTGTCAGTCGAGTGCTGGTACAAGTGCCGGAGAAAGCAGCGTCAGAGAAGGCGCGATATTGTTGCGTCTATGATTCATGACTTAAACCAATTTTTTATCGGTAAGCTGTCATAATACTGATTAGCACGCCGACCTATAACATACTTTGCCGGCCCACTTATCGAGCAGATCACAGTTGGTAAGTAAGTGTATCGATTGAAACACGTTACTCAACAGTGTATCCGGTGTTTTGATACATAACTAAATTTCCATGATATCTCTAACCGGCTACATATTTCAGAAAATTTTCGAGTATTTTAGCTACATATTACCCATTTATTCTGTACTGCAATTGTAAATAAATTATTCGCCGGTGGAACATAGAAGAGATCCGGTCATCGCTACACAAATAACATAATGACAATCGAGTTATCTGTATTCGTAGATCATCGAGCCGTTTCAGTCGCATAATTATTATTTATCGACAAGAAGAGTTTCTCTGTTACGTGAACTATATTCATAGTTTACTTTCAACGGGTGGAACTTACACGCCCGAAGTAACAAAGGCTTGAAATATGACACGAGTGCTGCACTCCGACCCGTACAAACTATGTCAAACTCACATGGTGTTGATCTGCGATAGCCTTGATGTATAACTCTAATGGTTACATCATTATTCGTTCGTCAACGTGGTCTTCACGTTGATGATTCTACGTTGGTATTTTTTATTCCTTGAAAAATTATTCGGATGCGAGTCGCGTTTACGTCGATTCTCGTCCGACAGCCATTTGTGGTGCGCGTGATTAATCGATACACGGACCGGCATTTGTCATAAGCACGCGGTGAACACTCGGCAAGATAATTCGTAACGCAAGGTCAACTAATTAATCTAACACCGACAGGGTCATATACAGCCACAATACAAATAATGATCCGGGATGATCCAGACGATAGTGATCTAAATCACCTGTTTATCTAACGGCAAAACAAACCTAAACGTTATGCGATCGCAGCTTGTAATACATTTTATTTAAGTACGAATTGGACAAATTAGATCTATGCAATTATAATTCGTTGCAGCCCGTACTGAATTACGCGGTATTATGAGCCGTATCAACACGATGCGGTGACCTCTTTCAACGACCATTAAATGAAATAATGACAGAAACGTTTATGTATAATTTACAGTAAGCCCGTTCATTTTCTTGAGGAATAATAATGCATATCTATAGTAAACGCGCGCTAAACATAGTTTTTAATAGCAATTTTTATTACCTAAGGGTGACGTCTTTTTATGTCCAATGTATATAACGTTACTTTGAAATAATAAAAAATAATCAACCTCTGTCTACTGTCGCTTTGAAGATATTTTTTTAACGCTTTTTTATGTGTTCGTAAAATTAATTTCGAAACGAAGATAAACGCGAAAATAGCGGAATTTTTGAAAATGTGTATTGTAGTCTTTGTGTAAGCAAATAGAAATTGAATCCTGTTATGCTTTCTACAAATGCAAGAATGTAAATCTTATTTACACTTAGAAATGATAATATTGTATAATCTAATATATAAAGTTTGTTGTCCTTTAACTGATTATATTAACAATGAATACTGCTTTGGATTAGTTGATTAATTTATGCTAATGATGAAGTATTTAACCAATCATTACTTGCATGCATGTATTATTCATTTTTATGTATATACTGTATAATTATAACCACATTAATATTTATTGCAACAGTGTGAGAATAATAAAGTGATATGCGTTATCTTTTATAGATAGATGTCATCAAAGAGAAAAGTCCACAAGATGCAATCCAGAGGGCAAATAATGAATGTGATACATCGAATAATTGAACTGATTGCCAGGAAAATATATCTGTTTATGGCATTTTTGAGAGGTCCAGCTGAGACACAACCACCTTTGAAGGATCTAACTCTTTTACATAGTGCAACCACCTTAGCTTTTAAAATTCGAAACAAACAGGTAATCATTTTCCCTTATCTTGAAACATATTTTCTCTAATGAAATTTAATTATTAATGGAAATTTATGTTTATAGTTAACTTCAGAACAAGTACTGCAATCATATATAGATAGGATAACAGAAATTCAACCAGTATTAAATTGTGTAGTTGAAAATCGCTTTGAAGAGGCTCTGAAGGAAGCAAAGAAATGCGATGAATTTTTAAAATCTCTTGATCCTTCGTCTCTTCAAGCATTAGCTACAAAGAAGCCCTTCTTCGGTGTGCCTTTTACAACAAAAGTAAATCTCTTGTATTAAAAATACTAAATATCTATGTTTCAATTAAACTGTTGTATCATAATTACAGTTAATCAATTTAAATATCTTGTTTCCTGTGATAGGACTGTATTGGAATTGCCAATATGAAACAAACAGCTGGTTTAGTTGTTCGTAAAAATACTTTAGCCGAATGCGACGCGGAAGTGATAAGATTAATGAGAGCGGCTGGAGGTATACCCTTGGCAACAACAAACGTTTCAGAATTAGCCATGTGGTGGGAAACTAGTAACTATTTATATGGAACTACGAATAATCCCTACAACACTAGACATATTGTTGGAGGATCTTCTGGGGGTGAAGGTTGCATACAAGCAGCAGCTGGTTCTCCATTTGGAATAGGATCGGATATCGGCGGTTCTATTCGTATGCCATCCTTTTTCAATGGAATTTTCGGGCATAAACCTTCCAAAGGTATAGTTTCTAACAATGGCCAGTATCCGAGTGCCCAAAGCGAAGACCAGGACCGATTGCTCGCTATTGGCCCAATGTGTAGATACGCACAAGACCTGCAACCTATTTTGAAAGTTCTTGCACATAAAAATATAGACATGTTGCGTTTGGATGAAAAAGTAGATATGTCAAAGATTAAGGTACAAATTGATACACTTAAATCCTAATTAGAGAGTGTGGATGTAATGTATAAGAAATATTTATATTGATTTAGTTATATTATATGGAAGATGATGGTGGCCAGTTCCTAGTATCTTCTGTGGATCCTGAGATAAAGGAAGCCATGGGAAAAGTGGTTCATTACTTTGAAAAAGCACATAAAATTAAGGCGACCAAACTTAATATTAGAAAGTTAAAAAAGAGCATCGCTCTTTGGATGGCAAACATGAGTTGTAAAGATGACAAAGATTTCACGTACGAGTTGTCAAATAGAAATGGTCATATAACTCTGTGGTGGGAATTTGTAAAATGGATGCTGTTCGTCAGCAACCATACCTTGATAGCTCTTCTTACTGCTGCTTTTGAGAGATTCGCACTGAAACATGGAAGCGACGAGCACACAAAATTGATCCAAGAAAGTAAAGATCTTTATCGGGAACTTCAGGTACGATACCTGAAACATATTCTAATCTAAGCCAGATCTAATTATACCAATGAATTCTTATCTTCTATAAATGATTAATTAGTACAATAATTATGATTGATAAGTGTCCGTAATATAACTTATCAGGAATGGAATTGGCTCCTATCTTCTTCTACGCCTTACTTTTCAAAATATCGCGCAAGATATACTGATTAGTTCTTACTGTCGAATTACGGAACTGTAATGTTTCTTACTGGATGTGATTTCTTTCTTGAGTCTCTCAAACTGATGAGACAACTAGTCTACTCCTTTCACGGTATCACGTGTTTTTCTAATAAGTAGCAAAAAATTGCCACTTTGCATGACGAATGAATTTTTTTTCCAATAGCCTACATAGTTTTACTTTTTTATAACTTTGTTTTCATCGTGTAGTCGTTACAACAGGACAAAAAGAGTGATTGAACTTCAAGCATGTATCCAGAATCATCCAGATTTTCTCTTTTTTCTCCCTTGTTATATTTCTTACGTGTCTCTGGTCATGACATATTTTATATATATTTCTTTTTAACAGGATATTTTAGGTGAAGACGGTGTGTTCCTATATCCTACTCATCCAACTGCAGCACCATTGCATCACGAACCACTGATTAAGCCATTCAACTTCTCATACACTGGCATTATTAATGTTTTGGGTTTACCTGCCACTGCTTGCCCCTTAGGTCTGAACAAGGAAGGACTTCCTATTGGAATACAGGTACAATTTTTATATTTTACTCTCGCTGTTATTGTCACTTTTAATATTATGTAATTATATCTCCAATAGGTTGTTGGTGGACTGTACCAAGATCACTTAACATTAGCTGTTGCTGAGGAATTGGAACGAGCTTTTGGAGGTTGGGTTCCTCCTCCCATAGTAGCTTGACACATGTGTCTGTTAGACAATAATCAAATGCATGGTACAATGGATAACGTCTCTTTTTATCGTACTCTGCCATCGTTATTTTTCGACAATTAATGTACATTTATATAATTTATACCAGAAAATCATAAGGTAAAGTACAAATTCGTATCCAGAAAGTAGATATCCGTGTTTAAATGTCCTAAATATTTGATGATGTGTATCAAAAAGTATTTAAAAGGAACTTCTATTACACGGCATAGAAACTGATGTCGGTTGGAATAATCGACTATAAAAAAATGTTGGATATTGTCTATAACTTGAAATCGTACGATTGTAATGAGAAAATTTAATAGTTTTCGTAATCACATATTTATACATAAGTATTCATAAATATGTATTATAAATTGGTGTTGAATGATTCTTTTTATGAAAAGGATCAGGTTCACAAAAGTAGCGACATTTGTACATAAGTAAACTTATTACATTACATTTGACTACCGTTTTTATATACCTCATTATAGATCTCTGTGGTAGGATTTTCTATTTTCATACGAATCGAGAGAAAAAGGAAACGGGAAGAGTGTATGAGATAAAAAGAGAGAAAAAAATTATTATATGATAGCAGGGTGCTTTTGGTAATGTGATAAAGTATTAAAGATTCTATGTTTATAACGTGTATTGATGTTAAAATCGTATACATATATATTTTATGTACTAAAGTAATAAATTTTTATTCCATTATTCTACTATCATTTCTCTTTTTTCAACGTCTGATTTGCGTGTTTATAGTATCAAAATGGATAGTACATAAATTTTAATGGGAACTTAATTTGTAATTTTTAATCTAATTCATTTATACTCTGATAGTAAATACAAATTTCTATTCATAATTTATGATAGTTTCATTTTTTATCTAAAACAGGATCAAAGAAAAAATATCCTAAATTGTAAATTACTTTTATTAAAAAATATATATTTTTTTTTAAGGGTGAAACTAAAAACAGATTATGTTATGTCGAACCGAAAATTCTAAGTACATAACATGCCTTTTTCAGAGATCCACTATGAGATAAGAGATCTTTAACTCCATGATACGTTTGATATCAATAAATAATTTAATACATATTTACAGTATTAATATGAATCGTGGAAACCCTTTTAAAAAACGTGGATATCGGTATGAATTTCATACATGTAAAAGTAGTTCTTATCCATGTATGTGATATTACGAGTTTCAACAAAAGCTGACTTACATTAATAGATCGTAAATTTAAGTTCACAGTATAAGTACTCGTTGTAAATTATATTTGTCACATGCGATAAGAAAGAGGAACATTAATAATGTTCAAACGACGTTTATTTCATTTCTTTGCTACGAACGGCAGTAGCAACTAGATTTAAATAGTTAAGTAAAAAAAAAAGTTGTTCCAAATGCTATTAGCATAATACTATTGTCAATTTTTATATCACTTTTAAATGTATGATAACAATAGGCAGTGAAGCATTTTATAAAAATAACTCCATTTTTCACGATAATAAAATATTAAAAGGAAATGAGAAATTTATGAGTTTGTTATTTTAAATATTCTACTAGTATCTAATAAAAGTACTGATTCTTGTTAAAATAAGAAGGCTCTTATTTATCAAAAAAAAGGAATAAAAGCCTCATCAACATTTAAATAAATGATAAATGTTTGCCATATCACAATGCATTCCTTATAATCTATAGAATAATAAAAATTTGTTTCGTCTGACCTATTATATTTCACCGACTGTCAAAACTAACAACACTAGATTAAATTTACCTTTAAATTCAATGTTAATAGTTCTTGCAGTCTGTGTAAGTCGCTCGCAATCAAATCAGGGTACCACGAGGAAAATGATGTAATAAAAGCAGAAATTCTCAAAATCTTAATTTTGACAAAATTAATATTAAAAATAATTTTAAAAAATATAACTTTTAATTATTAAATATCATAAAATTTAGTATATAATTGAAAAGTATGAATAACAAAGTAAATATTAATTCAAATTTTCTCGTGTAAACGTTTTTATACACAAGTGGTGGTCCACCACAGACCTATATGGATGTATAATCGGAACCCGGGATATTACCATTTTTCTAGGGAAAGCCTAATTTAATTGCAAGTATACTCAATTTTGTTAACCTAAGTATAGTTCTCAAACATTAACATTACGTTATGAGATTTGTTTCTTCCGAAGGAATTTCGTTCTTACCTGAGTCAATGAGTGAATTTTCGGATTTGTTGTCCAATGAATTATCCTTACTATCGTCGCTGCTTGGTCTATTTGAGACCTCAAACTCGTGGGAATTTTTTTCTGACTGGAATCCTAATAAATTGTCCTCTGATTCTTTGTATCCTTCTTTGTTGTCATTATAATAATCAGAATTGCTATTATTTAATGTTTTGTTCTTAATTCTACAATAAGAATTCTCGTCATCCTTTATCGTTTCACTATCTCTTCTCCTTTCCTCGTGTCCATTAGAACGATTAATTAAATTTAACTCTACATTTGTTCCTCCATTCTTTTTAGTGGATTGATTTCTCGTAGAATTACCGAAGGGATTGAAAAATCGTCTTCCATTCTCTCTACTCACGCCGTTGCTTGGCTTCATCAAATCAGCCTCGTTTGTTTTGTAATCGTCTGTACTTCTTGACTCATATCTGTTATCACAAGACTCCTCTGCGCTCTCAGCAAGTTCCTTTTCCTTTTTCATCGCCGCAATCTCAGCTTCCTTCATCGCCGAGTGAATAACTGGTTCGGCCCATAATCCTGGATTAAAGGCTGGTCCTGTACCACCTAATTCCGCTGGCAAGATGTCAGTGGGCAGGTGTTCGTGTAGGGTACTCAGATTGTTCCCATGTAAATAGATCTGGAAGATACAAATCTTAATGTAGAATACTTCTAACGAGGTTAAATCATGCTTGTGTAAATCCACTAGTCTTGTTTCGTGTGTAAACACCACAATGTGTAGCGTTCGCGCAGTGTTACCTCTAATTATCACCCGGTCAATATTTAAATCTCTGGGTCCAGAGATGCAAAAGCATTTAAACTTTAGTATTTTTAAATAATCATATTATTATTTGCTAATGAATTATGTAAGGAAAATTGTTTTTAGTAATAAATATATAATCACATTATTGTAAGCGTATAACTGCGACATTACTGGGTTCGGTCTATAGAGGGTTAATGGAAATGCAATAAATAAAAAAAATAATTTTTCAGTCGGTACTCCACACCTTATTCCGTGTCTTTTCATCCAAGAAAGGTTTTACGAGGGCCAATGTCGCTTGGACGTAAAGCGGTGCCGACAGGAAGTGTACAGCTTTGAATCTGGCCGGAAATCGACCGCGAAGAGCAGCTATTAGGTTTCGCAGTGCCGCAGCACCCAAGGCACCGCCTTGTCGTAAAGAAAATCCGCCCCAATCCACTACCGCTACAAAACCGGATTGCTAGAAAAAGATTGGAATATCAAGAATTAGTGTCACGAGGAAAATTTTGTATTTGAAATAATTTTATATTATACATTCAAAGTATTGCTAAGTATACATATATATACCTGATTTCTTGGGTCCTGAATTAGAATTTCAAGAACCAAAAAGATAGCTCGCTGAACCGATAAAGCCGGTACTGAGATTGGATCCCACTGCGACGCTAAGAAAACGAGGACGCATCTGCCTTTTCTGAAAAATAATTGGCTGTAGTTCCGAATGTCCCCGGTCGCGGATCGACATGAAATTTGGAGGGTTGGTTGGGAGCAGGTAAACGATCCCAAATATAAAGTGGTATCTTCGGCTTCCTATTGATTTCCAAGATATTAATTAAAAACTTTCGGTACAATACATAGACTTTTGCCTATACAGACGTAATTGACACAGCCATATTCGCTGTAGCACCCGTATATCGTCAAGTGTCGAGCCGTTGGCACCATAGCGATATTGGCTTCCGTTTCTATAGGGTGTCCCATGTAAAATCCAATTTTTTGTAACTTTTTCCTTTCCTTGTCGTATTATGACCAAGCTAACCGACCAACCAACAGAACAAAAATCGTTAGGTTAGGTTAGGCTAAATAAATTTCCTGCGGCCGACAACGCTGCAACAGTCGTCGTATCTCGAAAGTTTTTAATTAATATCTCGGAAACTTATTAGTTCCTATTGGAAGCCGAAGATACCATTTTATATTTGGGGTCCCCTCCCCCTCAAACATTCATCTTGATTATCGACCGGGGACATTTGGAACTTTATCCAAATAATTTCAAACATTAACTTATCCTGAAAGGAAAGAATATAATTAAAATTGAAGATGTTGTTACTTGTCGCGTGCAGGAAGGACACCCGGTATACCCGCTCGCAGCGCCCGTTGCAAGGCTGGATCTCTGGCTGTTAGATTGCCAAAGATATCCTGTCGATGTGCTACTTGCGCCTGATAAGCGGCTATTAGGGCAGCAGCTTGTTCGGTGCGATACTTCCGGGCCAACAGGAAACGTGTAATGTATTCATCCGTACAGTGCTTCAAGTCTAGGAGTAAAGGGAGACGGGTAATTGTAATGCCTCGCGTGAAAAAATAGCTGACAGGAAGCCGTTCGAACGCGAACATTATGCCGGAAATTCGAGGATCGATGCATAGACAACGAATCAGACGGCGCGATAGTCTAATTTGCTTGCATGGAACGAGGCACAGGGCTTTGCTATTGCTAACGGAAATTGCCCTGTGCTACTTAGGCTTCTTTTAGTCAAGGAAAAATGTAAAGGAAGAAGTGTGCTATCATATGCCCCCCATATGTTTTAAGTACTAGGACAGGTTTTGGGTTAGGTTCTCCAAAGGCAACCATTAATCTGTTTTGGAAAGACACAAAAAATAGTGGGTCTTCCCTAAGGAAAGACTAGCGCTCTTAATAATGCATTTACCTGAGTGCTTTGTTGTATCAAGAAAATACAATTCCAAGCTCTACCAGGTTATGAACTCTCAAATCCATATACATACAAAGAAACTAATCTTATTTGCGAAAGAATTTTATACTGTTGTCGTTCTAATTTTAACCGGTAACTTAACCAAATGCTTTCGGTGGAACGTGTTCAAAAGCGAGGGTAGATATCGCACGTTATGCACCCTTTCTTACCTACATCCGGCATTTCACGCAATATCGCTCTGACGGTTTTAATGGCCAGTTTCTTGTCCCGTTTATCAAACTTGGCCTCCGCCTCGTAAATACTCCGTGCCAAAGCGCTGTTCACGTGACCTCTTGTGGGGTCCCACATGTATTCACAGTACTCGGCCATTTTGCGAGCCCTTTCCCTGATTCACCGCGGAACTGAAATAATTAATTATAACATTTAATAAAATATAAATATATAATAATAGATCCTTTTTTTCAAACCTAATGTACATTTTTTGAGATACAACTCATAGATTACGTTGATGTACACATTTGTTAAGGTAGGTCAATCAAAACAGACACTCCCATTAAGTAAATGGCACCTTATGCAATCAAAATTTATCTGTTAACATATTCCTTTTTTTCTTAGAAAAGAATTATCACTCGCTGTAAAAAAAAGCTTGAATATTTATTTAAAAAGCAGTCCATACTGTCAGCATTGAACGATAAAGCGATAGGGGTTCTAAAAATCCTACTTTTACAAATTCTTTTTTTTCATAATTTTTTCTTCTACTTTTTTATAACTTAGATTCCTTTGTTCATACTTTTACAATATTATCGTTATGTGTATTGAGATCGACAGATGAAACGTATTATTAATTAGTAAGACATCAAACAAGGCACTGTTGTACCGTGAGTGAGTCATTTCTAAGTGAAACGGTAGACCCTTAACCGGTTCGCGTAACTGTTCGTTGAGACTTTTCTTTTGATTTCACAATCTCTGTAAAATCATTTACAAATGACTGATCGTTCCACGTGTGTTTCCTGAAATACAAAAGAGCTAACGATCCTGAATCCACAGCTTTGAAATATAACCTGTTTGTTCATTAAACCATCACCACATTCGTTTCAGTGTATTAGAGTCTAGACTGAACATATGTCAGTGAGAGCCCTGTTCATGACACTTTTCAATAAATTCATTCGCTTATATTACGCGCACTATAATTTGTTGTTTCTTTATCTTTTTATTTTGAGATCGTTTCCCGTAAGCCATTAAAAATCATCAGGAATATAATTGCTTTAAAATTACAGTATCCGGAACTACGAAGTAAGCTATAATTGTACACAAAAATACAATATAATAAAACACTGTCAGATTAAAATAAAAATGTTGTTGAAATTATTTCTGGTATTTAAATTTATCTCGAATAAATCTACATTTATAAAATAGAAAAAAACGACAAAGCTAACTGTCTCTAATAATACAAACTACGATTCTCGGGATCTAACATCGTGAATTATTGTTTCTAACATTGAACTTACACAGAGTATTTTTAATAATTATAAGAAACACACCTTTTTTCCAACTGTTGTTAGATGATATTTTTAAATAAGTAAAAAAAAGAAACTGTTTCGATTCACAGAGCAATCAAAATACACGGCACAATTGTTTTATTCACCACCATTAAATGTATCCAGTTAAAATCTGTAAGTGAAGAAGACAAAGGACTTCGTATATCGAAGGAAACCTCGTTGCTCGAACAGTCACGAGCAAACGGCGCGCAATGAAGTCGCCTGTTGCGATTCGCTCGAAAGTGTTAGAGCATTGGGAAATAAAGGAGTGAGGGAGACTCAAGGAGAGACGATTGTGCACTTGGTTGAAGAAAGAAAAGGCACTGCCCCGGGTAAAACGATAGATTCAAGACGGTTCGTGTTGGTTAAAATACACGGCAAAAGTACTAACCCATTAATACCTAAAAAATCATAATACATAATTTTAAAGATAATATTTTCTATTATAAATAAAGATACATGCAAATAGTTAATGCGTTTGCTGTCATTCAACCATAATCTCATACTATCAACTCCATTCGTTTGAATTATTCATAACGTAAATTTATTATTGTACTCAATTACGAATATTCTAAAGAATCTAAACAACACTGAAATGGTAGTATCTTCTGAATCATGGTTGCTGGTGTGTTGAAATTTAACTCAAGTGAAAGTGAAGGAATCATTATTATGTTTCAACAATAATTCCAACTGTAATTTGCTTAAAATTCTCTGGTTTGTTAAATCATTAGATGGTAAAGAAATAGAGCACCCATGGCTTGAAAAAAAAAAATCAGAAAGAGACGGGACCAAGTCTACTGCGTTGGTCGCGAGGAAGGAAGATATCGACAGAAAGAGAAAAAGAATAACCTGTGCTGAAATTAAACCAGAGGAGGAAGAAAGGATAGTGAAAGACCGAGATGGAAAGGTAGAAGTCGTGTGCAAAGGTGAGACGGGATACCGACGCAGAGAGAACATTTGGTCAAGACGGTGAGAAGGAGAAAGATGGACAAAAAGACGGACGAAGCCGGTTACCGGTACGGCTGACTCACCAATCGTTCTTGTTGCGCTATCGCGTAAACTGTCAGGTAAATTCAAAAAATGCGACCATCCGTAGTAAAATACACAGATAAAAAATCTTATCAGGTGCATCAAATCTAATTACATAAATTACACGTTAAAGAGAAAAATACTCGAATAGGTGCAATCATTTTGCTTACTTTTACTCACAGTACTAGACGTATCATTTCCAAGGTTTCGTAATTCCTTTTTACCGACTGAAACATGCCCCTGCACTTTGATATCTGCCCCAGAAATTTGAATAATACCGTTTAACGTTAACGTAAGAAAAATGATTTGAGAAGTAATTTCCATTGAAGTTTGGTTAATTATATTTGATTTAAGGGATCTCTGATCGAGATTTCTAAAGGGAATTAATCGAACAGACGCCTCGCATCCGGTTTTTTCGTTAGACGGTCAAACGTAATACCCCGGAAACGATGAACTCAATTGCTTTTTCTTTTTGCACCTTTTCAAAAATTACCATCGTCCGATCGCACTATCGTTAGCCTAGAAATGTAATGTAGTGTATCATAACCAGAGCTTATAATGAAATCACGCAATTTGTACTGCATTGAAATGCTAAGAAAGGTATAGTCGTGAAATTGGCACTTGTGATTCACGTTCGGTGAATAATTTTGTCGTCTAGGGAGATTATTTAAAAATCCTACGTTATGTTATTTCTGGAAACTGGTTTTATACACGTGTCTCTGCAGAAAAAGATGAATATTAAGATCATTATGAAACATTGGTTTTTAAATGGATAAAAAAGAATATAGGATTACGAAAACCTCGAAAATAAACGAAATTCTGCTGATTTTGCAACGATCGTGATGACTCATGGGTTCGAAAGTGCATGATTGTAAAAGAGGTGGTTAAAACTTTCGCAACAATTAACGATCGATGATTTTCGCGTGCATTCCAGCCTACGATCAATATTTCGAATGAAATTGACGATAATGAGTATTCGAAGTACATACATACACTCGCGATCAAATCAGACTTCCCTAGAAAAAATAGTGATATTCCGGATTTCCAACTTTCCCCTTTGGCATCCCTAGGCATAGGACTATGGCGGACCACCACTTGCGTATAAATATCTACGCGCGAAAATTTGAATTAATATTTGAATCTGTATTCGTATGTTTTATTAATATACTAAATTTTATAATATGTAACAATTAGGGACTTCCGGTTTGGATGCGTAAGCGTGTGCATATGAATTTGGGCGAAAGTTAGGTCACCTTGAAACTTCTGAAAAATCGAATCTTTTGTTTTCGGTTTAAAACTGTTTTTATTCTATAACGCCATTTTCCCTGTGAAAGTCTGATTTGATCTCGAGTGTACATAATTTCGAAACAAACTGTTGAATGATTTTAATGCTACTGTATACATATATATCCGATAAAGGAATAAGATCTTGTTTTATGGCACGAAACCATTCAATTCTTCCATCGATCGATTTTGCCAAGGACGAGGGTCAGCGATATCACCGTTTAGATTAAGTATTGTACATATTCCACAGTTGTTATACCGTCAAAATTATGCGATGACATTGTATTTTAAGCAACTTTTGTTTGTAATTAAATATCAAAACGGATATGAATATGCAACTGTTGTACAAATGTTTACGAAATAACAGAAAAAAATGTTCTTATGTAACAAAAGATGAGGAATTTAAGTGTATTAATAAATTTTCAACCACCAACGACATATTTTGTTACAATAACAATAGAGTCTAATGGCACTTCTAATGTATCGCCGCCATGTTCAATTAAGTTCAATAAAACGATTAACTCACGTTTGAAGTTTAGGATCACTTAACTACGAATGGCAATTTATATCAGATTCTATTATTCTCCAACTTGACGATCAATAGTGGTGTATTATTTAAATTAAATTTAAATCCTATTTGATCGCTTATTAATTGACCGATGAATGTAAACGGATATTGCATAAAAGATTTTTGGCGCAGTGTCAGAAAGCTGATCACATTAAATTTCAAATCGTTCAACTGACAGCGATAACCTTATAATTCAATCGACGGTTGCGAAAATTGATATAATGTTTTTGGTAAATGATCGTGAAGTTTTGAAACCGTGATACTGATTTTTTTTCTGTGGTGCATCGTGTGCTTGTGTACACTCGAAGGACGGAAACCGATCTGTTCGAGTAACGCCGCCATATGTTACGCAATATAACGGTAGATACATGTATACGGTGAAGAGAAGACAGAAGTTACCGGTTTCTTTTGGCGTTGTTAAATGTGGTTGCAACCTATTTTCCAGGCGGTTCTGATGCCTTAACAGGCCTTTGCCACTTTCAGTTGGAAATATTGTTCTAGTCTGACAAACGTATTATAAACAATAATACTGTGTGTATATACGAAGCAGAATAGCGGTAATTACTAGAATTGTAATGTACAATAAAAACAGTAATAAAATATCTTGCCTGTATTAAATGACTTCACGTTCCGTCAGCTGTTCAAAGAAATATAAAATCGTCACGAATTAAGTTGTGAAACAAAAAGGAAAGTACATAAATTATAATTACGTTAGTCTTCCTTTTAGGGAGGAATGATAATGGCATAAACAAAGGCGTAAACAAGGCTTAATTGTTACGCTTGGTGTACTTGGATCTTTTAATTGGGAAAAACCTTATATTTATTTTGCAAGTCATGATGTACACCTCGGGGCAACGTAGACATTTCATGGTGAGGGTATAGGTAGAGGAAACAATCCCTCACCATGAAAGAATCTAGGGGGCGTCTAGGGAAATCCCATAGGGAGAGCCTAATCTACAACCTGCTATCCTCGTATGTACATACATACATAAAGACATGGATAAATAATGCGAGTTTAGGATTCTTCTTCTTCTACGCTTTTTTTTTAAACTAAGAGAAGCCTACATTGCACCTGTGTGTACTTTGACGACCGGTGTCACGTGTTCGTAACTTTATGTAACTATAAGATTCCAAATATAATTCTTTCAGTGATTCCTTTTTCGATATGAAAAGAAACTTAAGATCATAGGATTTATTAATTACGTATTATATTCAACAACATTTTTTCCAAACGATACGTATGAAATTCTAACTTGAAAAATAATTAGATATATCGATAGATCGTGACAGTGACACTAAACTTTTTGCTCTTGAATGTGTCACGCCATAAATGCAGTGTATAGTTACCTGTTTATGCTACGTCAACGGTATAGTTTCGTATCGAATAACATTAACCACAAATGACACGTCAAACTTAACCACTGTACCGTGCAAATGAGAAAAATGCTTACTGTTCAGACGGGAATACGCAAACAAAATATTTTTCAAACCTAGAAAACAGAACGCATTGAACAAAACACGAGGTAAATGCTTCGCGTTCGGCGCGAAACTGTCTATTCGAAAACTGACAGTTAATCGATTCGATTACGAGCCCCCTATGAATCGCGCGACTACCAACAGGAACTTATTTCGTTGTAATGTTTTATCGATGTAACAAATTTTAATTGAATAAATAGAATATATTAAATTCAATGGGTGATGTTGTTAATTTAAAATTAATATTGAGACAGTTGATACAATCTTGTTCCTTTTTTCTTTTACAGTGCATGATAACTAACGCGACGGAAAAGGTAGTTATATTAACTGTAACTAGAGGTCGCTACTAGTAACATGCGCGAAACATGAAATACTAGATCTGACATTTTTATTAGCGACACAAATATAGCGCAGTAAAATAGCATTATTAACATAGTATGTATTTGTACATACAAAGTACCTATATAATTAATTATATCATTTCTTGGTTGCATTCAATTTGAACGGTATAAAGTTCAACTAATGAATTGACCGTTTACAAATTTTACATACCATCAAATTTGACTTTACAAAGTTGTGATCACCATAAATTCTACGTATCATATATCCGGTTTTTAACGTCAATAAATTCATTTAAAACGATGAATTTACATTTTTATTATCTGTAAAGATAGATAACAGGTTTCATTTAGAAAATGTAAATAAAAAATGGAAGAAAACATTACTTCGACAATCAAAACCTAAAAAACGAAATGTTGTTTAAAATGTTCCGTGTAAACAACTCTTAGGCAACAATTCGAATTCGAATATCTAAATTGGCATTCATCTTTCATGACTGCGTCGACTAACGCACGACGTACAACGCTCGAGGCTCGAGGTCAATCGGTCAATCGTCAACCGTCTCGTCTGACATTGACAAAGAAAAAGACAAAGATTCCATATAACACGGTACTAATTCATTCGATTTGTATTATTTCTGAGTTTCTTATAGCGCGGTTTCTGAATAATGCGGCAGTGGTTTCCATATAACGCGGTATATGTAAATTAATCTGATTTGTTTTATTACTATGTTCCTCATGACGCGGTTTCCATAGAACTCATTTCTTAGTTTTAATTAATTCGCATTTTCTTATAACACGATTTCCATCTAACACGTTACGAATTAATCGCGTTATAGGAGACTTGACTGTAATAAATTGGTTTTTTATTTCGTAGACATTAACGTCACAACCATTAGCCACTGCAATTGGTCTAGACATAATAAACACCAGCGATATCTTACCGACCTCACCAAACAACTTTTTCTGTGCATCTTCGATATCATATACGTATGTATGTATATGTATGTACATATGTCTTCGCTATGATAGAATTGATTAGAACACGGCTCTCAAGTGGCAGTCGGCATCGCCTTTGACTTGCATAGCGAAAGCGACACCCTGTAGACAGAGCAGTAGGTTTTTGCGAATCCCTCAGAAACTAAACCCGAACAACAAGTATATGTACAGCAAAAAGTTAGAATTACCATCCTGGCAATATATTCAAAATAATTATCATTTTATGTAGCGCCTTATTTAGAAAACCGGATGAACGCGTGTAGAAATTATTCAAGATTTAATGTTCGATTTTTACAAATCGTTTATTCGTTTATGTCTCCTTAATGACGGCTCCTTTATTAACGACAATCACCGTGTGATTCAAAAGAGTTTCGAATCGAGCGCGATACTGTTCAGTTGCAACCGGTGCTTGCTCGAGTGATCGAGTAGCTCATTCTTTTCCTCGGTACCGTCTGTCTTTAGTCGCTGAAATTTGTTCACCAAAGCAGAATTGCGGCCGAATTAAAAATATATATATACCGATAACAAAGTCCCTACCTACTTCTGAATATGTACACCCGACGAATCAGAGTACGAGACTGGGTACCTTTGACACATTCATCGTTGCTGTGACGAGTCGTGGGGTACGATCAGCTATCAGTTCGTGGCCGGCTTTCCATTAAAATTGTTCTGCATCGTGGATCAACGAGGTTTGCCATCTGCCCGTGGCCCGTTTACACGCTCTCCCGTTTGCCACTGGGTGCATGCACCTCGATCGAAAGGTTCGCGAAACAGGTCTTGCATCGCCGACGCCTCCGCCAGGTAGGTCGCTAAAAAATGTTTGTTAGAATGAATATTGTGCCCGAACGGGACATGAGAAAAATTCAAGAAATAAACGCATCCACTACCAATATGCTTACCAATGGCTGAAACTACAATTTAAATAAATTGCGCAAAAATCAAATGAGAAAAATTGCGATTTGTTTCATTTTAACACGTTAAATGTCTTGAGATCATCAGTGACCGGTGTCATAAATTTAGTATGATCGAATGGTTGAATAAAGAATAGTGAAAGACTCTAATCGTAAATTTTGATTAGTATGTTAACTTTGTAAGATTGTTAACGAAGAGTAAGATAGTATTCTGAATAATTATAGTGATAGCGTGCCCTACTACAGCGTTCATTTTACTGCATTCTGATAGACGATATTAGCTTTGAATTTAATTCCACTAATAATTAAGAGAAGATACTAAAGATAGACCATAAAACACTGTTTAGAAATTGTTGACTAGTTTGCTCTTTTATATGCCATTTTAACAAAGTAAAAAGAACTAAATAGCAAAAAATAGTTCTTTAAAAAATTCATGAATATTACAATAATTTAACTGAAGCTTGTAGATTACGCATTGTAGACTACTTTTTTCCTTCAATAGTGAATCTTTTTCAAACCAGAATTGAATTAAATTTTCCACGTAAACAAAGAAAATAATGACTGCAATTAATGATCATTAGTAATAATCAAGTTTTTTCTGGCATTCCTCTACTCGTGTCCGCATAATCTACTTCATGTGAAACGCATGTGTTATATGTATGTGTGCATGAGTGTAAAATTGTATAGATATATGCAGGGATAAAGTGTGTATAATACATTACCAAGAGGATTTCCGTTTGTCTATCACCGTTCACGGATGATATAATTATTGTTGTTCACCTTGACGTCATTTAACATCCTTACACGTATCTTACTGATAGCAATCCGTAAGAATAATTCATTAAGGATATTGTGACTGACGAAAATTTGCATTTTCTTTTAACAAACGTAATAACAATATTATTCTTTGCTTGTGACAAATCATCAAGTATTCTGTTTTTAAACCCTGGTCGTACCTAAATAGATCAATACTCGTGATAAAAAAAAGAAGATTAATAACAATTTCTTATTTTTGCGATTGACAAAGTAATGTATCGCAAAACGTGTAAACGGTCGATGTAGTTGTATTGATTCTTCAACGAGGAAAAAACGGAGTACTTTGATATAAAACTATCTTTTTACATTTTTTGGTAAAAATGATAAACAACCATTTGTTAATGCGATAAAGCAACAATAAAAATAACATTATACGTAAATGTCATACAGAGACACGTGTCAAGGAATGTCACTTATTATTTAATAACCTAACCTATAACGTCAGAAATAGTAGAATACTAAAGAATCGTAACAATAAAGAAGAAAAGAGTCATATTCTTTTTTTTTTTTTTAATACATTATTCTGTGTGTGTAGTGTTTCGTCAAAATGGCATGGACCATAAATCAGTTGTTCCACGCGAAGGCGTTTTTGGTTTCTGTATACACGGTATATAAAGCGTATTTGTTGGACATTCCTGTAGTAACGAACCAGTACAAAAATTTCGACGCAGGACAGTGGAGATATTTAACATTCTGGAATCTTGTAAGTACTCCTAATACATTTTCTTTATTAACAAACCTATTTTGCTTTTGCTTCAAATTATTGTTTGATTATAACTTAATATTCAGGGCGGAGTTTTTTAAATAAATAATTGATAAATAGAGTTGAAATATAAAAGCAATTACTAAACGACCTCTGTATTACATAAAATATAAAATTTAATAATAATAGTAGTATTAGAGCTGTCAATGTTTCAAATAATTTTTTTTACCTGTTATTTTAAATTCTTATTTGAATAGAAATGTAAAGGATTCAATTATAAAATGCATTTATATGTTAGGCATAAGTAAGTACCTACTTACTGTGCTTCATTAAATATTTAAAAACGATCACTATGTATGCTATACATGTATGTATCACAAAAACGTCAATAGATGGCACTTTGTTTTTGCTTAATCAGTGTAATTAAAGCTTCACCACACAATTCCATCTCTCTATATATGTAACTCGTATACATATTTGTTCATTCACTGATTACTACGCGTGTTACGTAACACATTTTTACGTTTGCATAACACCTTCTCGTAGTACTTATTGTTTTCAAAATAATGTCGCTTTAATTGAAACAGAGTTACAACGTTTATTGAAAGTTCATTAGTCACAGTGTCAAAATTATATGAATTAGTAAAAACTTTTTTTTTTAATCGCTTTTCTAATTTATTTATGAGCTTCAAGAGAAAAATGTATTATCGAATTTTATATATCAACATCGCATAAAATTAGTCCATTGAACAGTGGATAGTGCAGATATTTAAAGAGTCGAGCAGTAAAGTATTTGATCGTAACTTTTTTTTAAACTTACTGGTACAAGTTTGTAAGTGTTGTATAATAGTAGAAAGCAAAACACGTAATACATTACAGCAGTTTTTACTCTTAAGACTTCGCTCAACTCCTCGTTAAGTTTCAATTAGAAAGCGCGTGCAAAGTTGAAACAAGTTTTCTACATTTGTGCCTAGTGACGATACAAGTGTGCTGCACCGTCGAACTTTTATAAACTTGTAATTCGAGTTTGTGTTTATCAAAACAACATTTACTTTGAATGGTGTTAATCAAGAAAAATATCAATGCATTTTGAAGAGAAAAAACGAAAGTAAGAAACAAAACCAAAGATCAGCTTCTATCCACAAAAATACATGCGCAGCTCATCTGCGCAGGAAGATAGTCGTCTGCTGCATTTTTTGTCTCTCTCTCTTCACGATTCCTCTCTATTTTGTACACGCCCATGTTCGTTTAAAAATATTCTATTTTCACGCTGCATTACACACTTTTTGTCTATGTACTCATCGGCGAAGTCAATGAACGTTGTAGTTTAAAAATACTGAGAGATGAAAATTAGGAACGCAGTGTATGTACCACTTGCCAGATACAAGTTAGCCAATATGATAACTCTGTTGGTAACAAAACAACGTGGTAGTGTGTCGCATACAATTGAACACACATTATCACGCATATTTCTCTTAACTTCCACGTACATGATTCCTTCTTCATTTTTCTTCTCTTTTTTTTCCACTTCTTTGTCTTCTTTCACGCACTTGCGCGAATCTTGATTTCTGCATTGAGTTTATGAGTCTCATACACATGGCGAACTACTTCTCTCTTTCTCCTGGTATATTTTCGCCTATCCGTCAGTAAGTCGCGGACCGTCGATGCGATCGATACTATTTGTGTGGACTTTGTATATGTGATTGAAAAAAATTAAGTGTTTTTCAGTGAGATCAAACAGATTCTACTCACAAACAAAAAATCATTTGTGACACCAAAAAAAATAAATAAGATAATTTGATCCGTCAGTATTATTGATACATTATAAAATTACAATTTTATTTAGTGATGACATTTTTTCATTTTTTATTACAATGAAATGGATGTAATTAAAACGGATCCCCCTATTTTCTAGAATTGCAAATTAAAATAGCCAGCGCTTAATTAATTTAATTGTCGTGGTTTTGTTGTTGTATTATATAGACTAAATTACTTCTTGTTAACAACAATTATTTTATCAGTATTCGCTTTTTACTGTTTAAAGATTGGTACAATTCGTAGACTTTAAACTTGCCTTGAATGTTCTGATTTTATTATTTATGATTAAATGAACAAGGCGAAAATTTGTGCAACATGAAAAAATTATATCGAGTGGGTATTGTACCGATTGGGATCGTTACCTTTACCGTTGCTGCTTTGGAGCCGTTAATAATTTGGAAATAATGTTAAAATTTAATAACGTATAAAACTGGTTGTTTTACATTTCGTTTAAAAGTAATAGATGATAGAAATGAATACTTACAATTATTTTGTACCTGCAATCTTTTTTCTTAAAATTTTTATCACTAAGTAGATTAGTTAAAGCACATGATTACAATTCAGTCGTTTAAAAAACGAATTATCATTCTACATTTTTCTTACCATTTTTATTCACATCTTTTTTTTAAGTTAAATTTTATTCGAACGAAATACGATAAAAATTATCTAAAGATAATGCATGAGCAAATAAACAAATTTTCTTGAAAGATTAAGCCTTTTGATAGTATCTGATTTTCTACTAGTCACAAAGTTCAACAGTCACCGCACATTCTTATACTATTATGTTGCGTACAGTTTACGTAATTCGAGAGTACATTTTCTTACGTAATTTGTAATACAATGTAATAGCTAATAATGCTATTGGTTTAGTATTTTGTTACCTGATACTTTGCGACACATAATATAATATGAAATATAATATATTATAATATAAATAAATATAAATAATGATAATAGTGGTGAATATCGATTGATATATTTATCAATGTGTAAATAAATAAAATAGAAACGCATAGTAATAATCGTGCTCAACATATGACAAGTTGTGCTTTACTAATAACCCAACTAGAGAATTTATTGAGATGCTACTATGGCGTCGAGGAAAACTTTCTTCTGTCACGATAAAAATGGGGGATCCAAAAATTCCGTCCGAAATGCGTTTCACATTTCTCGAGTTACCAAGCGAGTCGGTTCGTGTATTTTTCTTCTTTCATTTATCTATGAAGATAAATACCTCGTCGTTTAATTGTCTCCTTACAATCCAGTACATATACGATTACTAACGACAAGTACGGACATTATCATGAAAACTTGTTAAACCGTTTCAGTATACTGAAAACACTGACACACTTATGAGATGCGGGACAGCTTACGAATTGGATTCCATGTGACTGCTTGTTTGCTGTATACTTTTTCAGTGTATTATGATTATACGTACGTTGTTATACCCTCCAGTATCGCTCGAACACACAACGCTTTCGGCGGGAAATTCAAATTCCTCACATTCTGGGACGCGGTTAGTATGATGGCTCAGTGACTTTGTATCATTTATTTCTTATGTATAACCAAGCTATTTGCCGATCACTCTTATGTAATTTTACGTTATCTAGTGAAAATGCAAGTATAAATTAGTCTGTGAATTGATAACTGCATGTTATGGCTAGCAGTAGTTATCGCTTGTCAAGAGGAAATTATTGTGTTTAAACTAATCATTCAAAGATGTTAAAAACTTTAATTGTTAAATATAAAATCTTTTACACATTGATTGCCACATCTGTAATAATATATATGGAAATGACTTCACCTTTTATTAATTATTCATTACACTTGAGTTGTCGGTCATCGGACACCCTTCATGGCAATTAACCTATTAATTTCTAACTAATAGCAAGTTGAATATAACAGAAATGAACTTTGTTAATTTAACGCTTGACCGATCGCGTTCTTATGAAATCATACCATCTTATTTTAGTTCTTACAACGCACGTGTTTCTTCTAACAAGTGATTGCAGCAAGTACTTACTGTACTTGCAATTATTACTTATTGTGTATTGTGTATTACTGTATTGTGCAATAGTGAAAAGAATTAAGCAATTGCTTTTTTCTGATCACTTACTGCCTGTTGGTGCTCACGTTTATGGCTAGTTTGCAATGCCGCCAATGCTTGTAGAAGGGCAAAACTCAACTTTATACGAGTGCCACTCCATGTCACCGTGGAACTATGGCACGTGACATATCATATACCGTCAAGTGGTTGCCATTATATGATTTGAAATGTTCTTATAACGGTACCACAATATTTTTATTTTATTCGTATCAGTCATCTTCATAAATTTATTATTTCGGTGTAAGGAAAAATTAACTAATCGACGTGTATCTAAGATTGAAAATCTTGGAAATGGGGCTATAGCATTTAGACTTTCTGTCACTTTTGTACAGGCCAAACAGTAAGAGTTATCGAAAAAATTCTTGCGCCATTGTGTTTAGTGGGTCAAAATCTCAATGAATGGCCGAAATTTTTCTTTTTTCGCCACTTCCGGTCTGACCGGAAATGGCCGAAAAAGGGTTGGCTCTTTAACTTGTTTATTATTCAACAATCAATATGAAACACGATAGAATTATTTATTAATATTCATTATTGTTGAATTCAAAAAAGAGTTCAACAGAGTCGATTGCATGAAATTAGCATGATTGACCAAATGTCATGTGTCACAGTAACACAAATGAAAGGACAGCGTTGTATACGCACAATTATGATACAAATGCTTGACGTATGTAGCTAGCATGAAACAAACGTGAAAGGATGCGAATGACGCGCACTTATGATATAACGTACCATATTAATATCGTGTTAAAATAAAATATATTTTATTTATGAAATAATAGGATTTTAAAACTAACATAATAAAAGAAGAAATAAATAATAAACAACAAAGTTATTTATATTAATAAGGGAAAAGAGTATTAATTAATTATAATATTTATTTATTTCAGATCATTCAAGCAGTATTTTTCTTTATATGCGTACTGAACGATTGGTTCGGTACAAACACCGTCAGTCCCAAGAAGCCACCGTTCGTACGTAAATTAAAAGATTATGTACACGCAGCTTTTGCTTTTCCAACCGCGATGGTAAGCGTGGAAAACAATAAAAAATATGAAAATTTAACATTTGGCAGTTTTTCATAATTTTTTTTTTTTACAGTTCGTTGCGACAATTTTCTGGTCTTTGTACGCCATCGACCGTGAACTGGTATTTCCAAAAGCTCTTGATCCTTATTTTCCATGGTGGTTGAATCATCTGATGCACACAACGATTGTAGCCTCTATTTTAATAGAGATAATTGTAGCACCAAGAAAATATCCAAAACGATTGAAGGGTATCCTAGGCATCCAAGCACTTATGGTATCTTATTTAATATGGTACGTCACGAATTTATTGATATAATTTACAAACCAGACATTTAATTATACTAAGTATTTCGTTTCACTATAATTTAACAAATTTTTTCAGGATGCTTATAATATTCAACAAAAGCGGTGTCTGGGTATACCCGATATTTCACGTGTTGAACTTGCCCACGCGAACCCTGTTCTGTATTACAATGTTGGCGTACAGCACGGTACTTTATGTGATAGGAGAAGTGTTGGACAACTTCATCTGGGGTAACGAATACATTAAACACCAAAAATCTCACGCTAAGAGCAAGTAGCCTCGCCCGGGGATTAGGTGCCGAGTTCGATCTTACTTTAATCTCCTCCCTCCATTAAGGTGGCGGTGAATAAAAAGGAAGACGAAAGGTTTTCTACCTCCCCCAATCCTTAACCCCGTCCGTTACGAACGTTACAGCATGCATGCGTGTCATCAATTGAATTACATCATTTGAAAGTCTAGTAATAATGGTGCATGCAGAAAAGCAACGCATTTATTTCTAACACGTTGGCTGCGGAAACAATTCCAGAACAAACAAATTTACGCGCTAAACGCGTTAGCTGTGGCGAACGTGTTAACCGAAATGCTCAAGAAACAATACGGTCATTCATTTCTTCACCGGAATACGTTACACAGCTGAAGCATGTAAATGATTATTTCGTATGGCTTGTGCGTTTCGTGTGCAATAAAAAAAAGGGAAGACTAATCATTGTAACGACATACACTACACGCACTGTAGTGCCTGATGTAAATTAAGCGTATAAAAAAACACTAGCAACACACATACGTGCAAACAATAAAACGATTATTATATTATGTTCTTTTTTATACGTTCGATAACTTTGGTTATTTTCTGTTAATGTAATCGAATAAATAAAAAATTACAAAATATGAAAAGAAAATAGCTACACGCGGTGCATGCAAATAAGAAAGTACATAAATGTACATGTAGTTTACACGTATCGAATATACATATGTATATGTATTGTTCCGCGTTTTTAAGGTGTGTATTATTACACACGTATACACATACTTTGTACACACTTTTTCTCGAAACTAAAATCCGACTGTATTTGTATCGAGTGTAGGAAAAAAATACGTAGCCGAAAATATCGGACCGGATTTGAAAGCATAAGAATATGGCGAGTTGAACAAGAGGATCGTGCTTTTGCGGACAGATTGAACAGAGATATCGTTAATTGTACCTGCTCATCGTTTCAAAGAAGACACAAAGCCAAATGTCGCAGCTAGAAATGCCTCTAACATTTGTATTAGATCTTGCTAGGAAAATGAAATTCGACTTCCTTTCTTTTTTGTATGAGATACAAAAATAAGATGTTTAATCGACAGGAACACAGGGTTTGTTAACACTTCATTTGTTTTTCTACCATTATTTTAGAACAGAATTGAATAAAAGACATTGTTCTTAATACGTGTTTATGAATTTTGAACATCATCATGATTACATGTGAATCTAAGATAATATATTGAGATACTTGTACATTGAGAATAGTTAACGCTTTCTGTGGATAAATTTGGACGGAACGCAGAAAGTCCGTGTTAAAATGTACGTAGAAAATATCAATTATCGATAACGGGTAGACCCTCTTCTATAATTACATACATGATAGCGAGCCTCGCAATAAACGTTCACTGAGGTAGTTTCAATGTGATGTATAATATTCAAACGGATATTTTAGGGATGTTCTATTTTAGATACGTTTCGAGAAACGTGGACAGTAACCGTTTTCATAAATAAAAGTAATATTCGAGATCTTATAGGAAAGTAAACATACATAGGATTATCAAAGTACCAGACAATATCTTATCTTAATATATTATAAAAATATAAAATTTGTAAGTCAGCAGATTTGTCCCTTATGTAAGAATTATTTGTACAATCACATTGTTTTGCATGAAACATTTACACTTGCGTTTAGAAATAGAAATTGTTAAAAAAAAAAAACGAAAAAAAAGTTACTCCATTCATACACTTATCTTTTTATGATAGAACGATAAAAAACTGCGTTTTATGTATATACTCGTTATCAATGTTACTCGTTATCAACATTATGTAGATACATTGAAATTGATTTGCATACTATGTTTAAAATAAAAATTAATCGAGTAGCTGTCGAAAAGTCTGTGGTAAATAATAAGATAAAATTGAAATTCTAAAATGTAGTTACGCACATATATGTAAAAATCAGTTGTGTGTACTCTAAGTACAATAGGGTATATATTTTACAAATATTGTAACCAACAGAGCAATATTAAAAATAGATTTAAATTGTACTGTATAAAAGGAAATTATGTTTATAATACATTTATACTTCTAGTATCGTAAATTGAATTATTTTTTACGATAATGAAATTTTACCGTAATTTCACTGATAATAAAAAGTATAAAAGTAAACAATATGCATTGTTAAACCTAAGTTACTTTGAAATACTATACATACACAATCAAATGTCATGCTATTGCCCTATTAAATGTACACGTACTTAAACACGACGAATTAAGTATAATTTTGGCACTATTACATTGTCATACAATGCTGGTTATCTTTTTCAACAAACACCATCCTTAAGCAAGGATAATTAAAAGATCCTTAAATTTACTTTATTGCAGTCACGCCTTCAAAGTATAAATTCTAAAAATGTACCTTACAGTTATGTAGCGATATTTTTGTTCTTATTCAGTTGTGGTGAAATTTGCGTACCCTTTGAACTGCAATGTCGACTGTTAATAATTTCGTCTATGCTTTGTTTCAACTCTTCCATCTCCAGAATATCCAATGGTAAAGAAGTTTGCGTTGCCATTTCTCGGGCATTAGTATTTTGTCCTTCAGACTGCATGAGTCTTGTTAATTCAGGGCAGCAGGAGGTAAGACTAGACGCCAGATTGCCTATTCCAGCTTTTCTATAGATTTCTTTTATTTCTGCGTCATTTTTTAATTTTATATCACTAGATTCTTGAAATAGGTGTTTTAAAATAGTTTCATCTTGCAATAGATATTTGCTTCTGCGACCCTCTCTACTCCTTCTGTCACTTTCATGACCATAACTTTTGGAGCTTTTGTTACTGCTTTTGCTCTTGCTACGTTCCTGTGGTTCTTCAGGGTCTAGCATTTTTGTTTCCTCCTCTGGTTGACTGTCTTCGCTGTCACTATCTTGATCATCCTTTTCTGCATTACCAACTTCAACATCCACGTCTTTTCCTGACATTCCTTGGTGCCGCTTTTCCTCGCTACTTAAATTCTCATCGCTGCCACTCTGTCCTGGAAATAAGAACGGCAAAAGCATACCTGCATTCTTTCCATCGAACAATTTAGAGTTTAGGGTACGTTCATCTAGTCCAGCACTTGCTGATCGTCTCTTCATATTAGGCACTTGGACCGGCGGTACTCTTGAATTACCACCTATGGTTAATGCGGATAGTATCTGCGCACCGAGCTGACTTTCTTGCGAGGTTGTACTACCCCTTCTGAACAGTGGTCCCACTTTACCGGATCTTGACTTTCCAAAATCTCGTCGTCGCTTTCCGCGACGACCACGCGAGCTGCTCGCAACTTTTCGCGTTGTCTTCAGCTCGGCTATTTGAACCGATATCTGAGAGTCCAATGAGTTCCTTCTAGACTCTACTGACACTCGACGCACGCTGAAACTGATCTCAGAGTCCACAGAATTTCTTCTGTTACTAGACACAGAGCCAGTAGTGCCACCAACAAGCGCGCCTCTACGTGTAACTAACTTTGGCAGTGCAGCAGCCCACGTTGAACTGAAATCCTGAGAAGCTACAGAGTTTAGATCAAAGTTTAAACCAACAGGATCCTCGTGTGTGTTATGAAAACTAATCGATAATCGACCAGCGTTATTGAATGTCTTCCGTTTTGCAAACGCTTGAGCAATAACTTTGTGTTTTTTTAATCTGATGGGTTCTTCAGTCTCACAATTGAAAGTTCTGATGAAGATAAGATTGATTTAGTACATATTAAATTTGATTTCAAGAGAACAAAAGTTCTCGACGTCTTACCGCCTGAGAAATCTAGTCCAGGTGTCTACAGTTGAACCAGTCCAAACCCAAGAGGACATAAGAATGCCGGCAAAAAATGGAGAAAGTAAATGTAACTGCATTTTTGCAGCACTCGGTCGAAGTTCCATTTTACATTCAGAAATATCCAAATATTTTGTTGTTATTGCACATCTGTAAATAATAGACAAGACTTTGGATGTGTACTGTGTACCATTGTACTATGTAATTTCTATCAGTATTATTCTCACATCATGTAATTTCTGAAGCTTTGACGCCATTCCCAAGAATGTTGAAACTCATAAATGTGGCAATAAAATGTTACAACAACTGCAGTAAATGTGAAAATCGAAAATAGACCCATACGCACGATGGTTTCTCGTATTTTAGCACTTGCCCTTTCAGATATTATTTCTTGGCTACTTATTTTCAGTCGAATCAGAGTAATTAATCCTAAAAATGTTAACAATAATATTAGTGAAACTATATTATATTAATGATGGTTGAAATATTAACAATTATTCCTAAAAAAAATATACTTACAGATTATGTTCTTTAGGAAAGCATATAAGAGAATACATTTTATTACTTTGATTACATAGATAAGATAAAATAAATGTATGTTTCATACATACCTCTGGATAAAAAGTATCCTCCAACCAGTAAAACAATCAGTACAGGACCAAGCAAAAACCAAGCTCTGACTGCATGATTAGCATAACCCACAAAACATATACCAGTAACACTATTTCCATCTATTTCTCCTAATGCCATAATCGTAACAGTGAGAACAAGTGGGAAACACCAAGCAATTAAATGAAAATAAGCACCCTTCTTATCGATTCTATCTTGGATTTTGCCTAATGCTTGAAAACTCATATGCCAAGCATATGTAAGAATCACAAACCACACCATAGCTGCCATAAGGGAGTAATACACAAGGACAAATACTACCACGCATGACAAGTTTTCTCCACTGAAAATACATCAATATTTGAAATAATCTTATATAAAAACAAGGATACTCTATAATAAAAATTATTATAAATGTTAACTGCAAGCTACCTTGGTTCACTCATCCTTAATGTTCCATCTTTGCGGCACACAATCACTTCCCTGCTTCCTGGTGTAAATTGAATAAGCCATCCAATACAGGACATCATAAAACAACAATTGATATAAAATATCACTAAAGCTGGATATTTATTTGCACTTCTCCAATCGATTAAAAACGTTACCTAAAATTTTATACAAATAAAATGTACTTTTATCTGATTGCATTCCTTCATTTGCATAATACTTACAACTGTGAATAAATTAAATGAGCCACAAATTCCTGCAGCCCAAGCAATAAAAGAATGAATTTGTTTATGTTCATCTGGTGTAAAAAGTGGGTCATTGCACTGTGTTCCACAACTTTCAACTCCTTCAAATATTGCAAGCGCATTGTCAGTTGGGACCAAAGGTTTCAGGCACTTGCCAGAAATATTAAACTTTAACTCCCTGATATCATTTTTACATAATTCAGGAAATAATTCTGTGTCTTCGCATTTGATAAAACTCGGCCATATCGTATAATTAAAAATAATTCTGCAAGGTCCTGAAACCATTTTGCACATTTCCTGAGATGGTAATTCTACCGTATCATTAATACATTTTGGCATGAATATTGAACATAAAAGGGGCTGGACAACTGCCCAACACTTTGGCATGTGTCTTAATGCTTGTAATACGTGTAATCTCTCCTAGAAAATAAAATAATTAATTAAAAATATTATCTCTTTGATCTTTTGTTATAAATAAAAGTTTATTTGAAAAAGTAACACAAGAGAAAGTAATGAAACACTACAGGTATAGAAGTCAAGGCAGGAAGTACCTGAGGTGATTTTAAATAGGGTTTCTCTGTACCTGAGATAGCAGGTATAAGGACACAAATGAAAAGTATAGTGTTAAAGCTTTCAAGATTTCTCTTTTTCTAAATCAGAAAATATATATTTATAAATGCATATATTATTTTTATGAAACAATATATAAGTCTGATATACCTCTATAATATCTTGGGTTACATGCTCAGATATAAGCTCCAAGGTAGTAGTAGTATATGGTAATCTTGTACCCATGCATGTATTCCTCTGCATTTCTACACATTTTGCTGGTCTACGGCAATTCAAGGAATACCTGTCCAGCAGGTAATGGGAGTCTTTATTTCTGTGCCTGGAACTCAACTCCAAACTTTTCCATGTTTCATTTTCATTATTGGAATTGGCGGCGAAACTGTGCGTCAATTCCGATGATACTTGATGAAAAATTAGAAAGCAACAAATCAACCGGAGTTTCATCTAAAAAAAAAAAGAAAATAATTAATATTCATCCAATATTATTATCAATTAAAAAAAAGGTTCGATTACTTTGCGGTAATTTCAATTTCATATCATTTTCTTAAGTGTTATGTTCCGGCACGCTATTGGCTCGATTAAAAACAAAACATCACGTGTACAACACCAAGATAAACAGTACAAGCATTTTCAGAATAAAAATAATTCTTTAAGATGCTTTACTCACAGCTAAACACCAATTATTTCCCGAGTAAGTATAGTCTGCCACGGAGAAAGCTCTCCGTTTCGTTCGAACAAAGCGTCTTGCATCTTCTACGTTCGCGACAGCCGCATCCAGCATACGAACGCTTGGACCACACACACGTTGTGTTCGCTTGCAGCCCACCCACGACGAACTCGGCGAACTTGTTCATACCTCTTTCCGGTGTTTGAATGCACGGCCGTAAAGAATTTAACGAATACCTCGCCAGTGGCAGTAGTGTCGATGTTGTTGAGTAAGTACTTACTTATATTAAGGGTCACGAGAGTCCATAACTAAGACGCGCAGGTTGGAAGATGGTGGGGGAACGCTGCGAGCTCTCCGCCAATCGCTTTCCATTTCGTCTGGGAGTATCGCCAATCAGAGCGACAATGCGCAGAAAAGAACGAAAATTGGTCTTTTCGCAGTTATGGACTCTCATGACATCAAGTACTTACTTAGGTTCCTCCAAGGAAAATTGCATTAGAAGCGAATCAGGAATGTTTCACGATATTAATATTATAAGTGATTTAAAAATAAAATAATTTTTAATTATTGAATATTATAGAATTTTAGTATAATTATTGAATAGTATAGAAAGTGCCTTTGCCCCTACATCGCCACTTTATTCGGATTCGGAGCCTCCAAGGTTCCAAGGAGGGACGAAAACTCCGGAAAGGGATTCCCCGGGGAGGATCAGGAACCACGGAACCTGTGAGCGCACAGGAGAATTTTTCAAAAAAGAGTTGAGATATCACTATTTTTCGGGGAGAACCTACGATACTCAATACTATACACCTCTATTCTGCACAGTCAGCACAGAAAATTAAAAAATATTCCATTTACAAATAAAATTTTACTGATACATAATATTATATTATATAAATTGTAACTCAAAGGTTGTCGCAATCTTGATGACTATTCTGCTTATCCTACCTATTGTCAATCGTTAATAATAATTTTATGTTTAAATAAACAATTCATAAGTAATGCGATTCTTTAATTTCATACTACATTATCGAAAAATATGTAATTTGTCTTTTTAAAATTAAGTTTAGTCAGCTATATAAAAAAGACATTCCACAAAACAAATGGTTCATCCATAAATTTATTTTGTTGTCTATGTAATTATTATTCAAGAAGCCGAATGATAAGATGAGTAAGCTGTTTAATTTACATGATCAATACGTGCAGCAACAGAGATTATATGATTAAACATACGGCAAAGCGTTTATGGAAGCAAATAATATAATAAAAGTAATACAAAATAAGGTGTAACAAATTTTATTAATTTATTTGTTCATTATTTTTACTGGTGTCGACCTCTACGAATACTTTGTTCAAATACAGATAATACAGGTGCGCAAGTTGTCAAAATGATATAACGTGTAGGGTTTACGGACGGTTATTTTCCTGGGTTTAATGAATAACACATGGTGTTAAATAACGAGGATATCAATATTATTTGGATAAGCGACTATTAGCACACTGAAATTTTATCGCCTTTTCCTTAGTCGACCTTTCGCTATTCCGGTGTAACAGGAAATATGATAATTGTCCCTATAGTTAATTAGCTGCTGGTGTTGATAATAACATGCTGCTAATATATGATAAGCCTGTGCCGTGTACGTCTCCACGCAAGTTAGAATTAATACCACCGAGACGTTTATTCGACAGTCTGCGATCTGTATTTGATAGTAAAGTAGTTTAGAAGGTGACAGATGTTTCATAAAATAACCAGAATTTACCTCAACAATTTTAAACCTTCGTTATTTTGAATTCGAATTGCGCGAAAACAAGGTAAGAATTTCTTCAAAATATACACAAGAAGCTGCAAGTTTAAAGTAGAATTATATGTAAAGCACAAAATAATAGTACATTCAACTTTTTTTTTCAGCTTAAGATGTTTGAGATCTTTTACCTTGGATTGTACTTATTGTTTTTTGGAAGTTGCGTTGGGGACTATTCAGATTGGGACACGAAATGGCAAATGCTGTGTCCTGGATTATTTCCCAAAGTATTCACGAGTTACACACCTCGTGGAAATTTTTCTAGTGGTATATATACTATGCAACCTCATCTAAGCGATATAAAACACTGTGTAGCTGTATGTTGTACTAAACCCACATGTAATGTGGCATTAATGCACAATGGTACTTGTTACCATGTGCAGTGTGAAAGTTCCAAATTATGTATACCTTTATATAGAAAAGATCTAGCAACTGAAAATCCACCTATTATGGTTCTGGTTAAACCAGTGAAAGAAGATGAAATATGGAGTATATTATTAAATCAAATAAATGACGATACTGGGTAAATTTTATATATAATTTTGTGACTTCTATGTTGTGTTTGCTATGGTAAATGTAAATACTTTTACATTTGATGTTTTTAGAAGTTTGCTTATGGATGGCAATGAAATGGATCACATACTTTTTAGTGAAACAAGCGAGATAAGTTGTATCACTAAACCAGATTGTTTAGAAAATGAAGTATGCGTTAAAAACGATAAATCTGATGTTGGAATTTGTGAATGTGCCATTGGATTCAAACGCAATATCGCGGGTAATTATACTATTGAATGTTTCTTATAAAAATGATTCTGTATTCTATAATTCAAATTATATTTGTATTCATTTCGGTAGGTATTTGTACTTTAGTAGAGGATATAGAACTTGGGGTAACAGCACAAGCAAAGGCAGAAGACGAAAAAGATTCTAATACATCTATGAAACCAACCATAAAACAGTTATTAGTTTCTGCTGTTTCAAAAGAAGTACGCTTACCAGAAAATGAAGTAACTTTATCTGCCTATACTGTCCCTGCTGAGCAGGAAAGTGAACATTACAATTATGTTTGGAGCCTTTTAAGTCAACCTGAAAGCCATACTGGTACAATGACTGATCAGAATCGAATGACTGTTAAATTAAGTAATCTTTCCGAAGGTTTATATACATTTAAAGTAACAGTGAATAGTTCAAATGCGAACGCTTATGGAGAAGCATATGCAAATGTCAGTGTTTTGCCACGTAAGTGCTATTCAATTTACACGTATTTCTTTGATTTATTCTTTGAATTCAATTTAGTTTATTTAATGATTTCATTATTATTTATAGCCAAGAGAATAAATCAGGCACCAATTGCCATAATTTCACCAGCTTCGCAAGTTGTAAAATTGCCGAATACTGGAGCTGTATTAGATGGTTCTTCGAGTAAAGACGACGATCGAGTTATTTCTTATCACTGGGAATTACAACAGGGCCCTATTGGATATCAACCTAATCTAGTCGACACACCTACTCTACAATTAGATAATCTTATTCCTGGAAATTATACGTTTAAGTAAATATTTATTTCTATTTAACAAATGATATTTATAATCTACAGTAATTATTTAATATCTCGAAATTTGTGTAGGTTGACTGTTGAAGATTCTGATCATATTACTAACTCTACAAGTGCTAATATAACAGTCTTGAAAGTAACTGATTATCCTCCTAGTGCGAACGCGGGTCAAGATATTATTATATATTTACCTCAAAACACATTGACACTCAATGGTAATTTGAGTACAGATGATCATGGAATAGCAAGCTGGGAATGGACAAAGAGTCCTTCGGATCAAAATAAAGCAGTAGATATGCAAAACACAAGAACTCCATACTTACAATTATCTAATTTAGAGGAAGGAATGTACACATTTGTGCTGAAAGTAACAGATGATTCTGAACAGTCTTCTACAGCTGAAGTACATGTATTTGTAAAACCACCAACTAATAAACCACCTAAAGGTAATTTATATAAAAGCTTAATCTCAATACAATGTTTAATCGCTATTGATTTATTAAACAGCTGATGCTGGTGAAGATATAACTATAGCATTACCAGAAACCAAAACTGTACTCGATGGTCGAAAAAGCAAAGACGATATTAAAATCGTATCTTATCACTGGGAGCAAGTGAGGTACTTTTAAATTTATATTTATTTTATTACATTTGTTATATGACAAAATAATAAAAAATCTTTTTAACAGTGGACCTAATAAGGCTGAATTCTCTGCAGTTAACGAATCAATTACAAATATTACAAAATTAACAAAGGGTGATTATGAATTTAAGTTAACTGTAATTGACGATAACGGAAATAAAAATTCAGATACTGTACAAGTAAAAGTCACGCAAAGTATGTATTGAAATTCATCTTAAATGTTTAAAATTTTTATGTTCTTTTCAATTTAATTTTATTTCCTAGATAAAAATGCTCCTCCTAAAGCAAACGCAGGTGGCGATCAAGTTGTTATAGCACCTATTAGTGCACTGATTATTAATGGATCTCAATCGACTGATGATTTAAGAATTAGTGAATGGATATGGACAAGAGATCCATCTAGTCTTGCAATAGGCACTATAATCCAGGATACAGATAAATCGTCTGTTTTAATGGTAATAATATTTAACAGTATCTCAGTAGAAAACTTTAATTTATAATATATATCTTATTTAATTAAAATTATTTATTTTATAGGTAACAGATGTCGTTCCAGGCAGATATGTTTTTAGATTAAAAGTAGTAGATGATCAAGGTCTTAGTAGCGAGGATACTGTATCCGTGATAGTGAAAACTGGTAAGTAATTTTTTTTTAAAAGTAAGAAATGGTTTAATACAAATTATTCACTATTCTTTGTATAGATCCACAATTGTTGCATTTGGTTGAATTGACGCTGAACATTGGAGCAAACATGCTAACGGTATCACAGAAAAATTCATTGATAGTAAAGTTGCAAATGTTATTACGAGACGAAGCATCGATCGTTGTTCGAAATTTAAGAGCAGAACCACATACGGGCAGAGCGGTTTTAATCTTTTACGTTGAAAAGAAAGGAGGAAAAACGACTATGCCTGGACCGGAAGTGGTCAAACGATTAAAAGAAAAATTAAAACAAGATTCTGGTCTTCTTCAACTATCAGTTGCAAACATTGATACTGCTGTATGCCAAAATAATTGTTCTGGTAAACATTTTTTATTAACTAATATTATTGGAAGTATTTCATTTCTGTATAAAATTGATTATTAAATAGGTCATGGGGTGTGTGATCAAGAGACAAGGCTATGTATGTGCGAAGCATTTTGGATGCAAAATTTAATACAGAAATATTTCGGCAATGGCGATTCCAATTGCGGTATATTAATTAAAATATGTCGAGTAATAAATTTAAATTCGAAATTAAAATAAACTAAGTTAGAAATTAATTACTTTTTCAGATTGGAGCATTCTCTATGTAATAATAGCATTACTGTCTCTGGTCGTGTGCTGGGTTGGTCTTATTTGGGGTCTCGTTTGCCTATGCCAAAGAATATGTTCAGGTAAACGACGTTCTCTTCGCGCCAAGAAGAAACCACCACGTTACTCCCTTTTGCAACCGGAACCAGAAGATGACAGTAGCACATGTAAAACACTATTCCTTCCATTTTAATTTAAAATAATATTCCTCGATTAAATACATTTCTGTTTGTTTCGTAGTTTCAACACATAAAATGGTACTATCTGAATCGGATACAGATTCTGATGACGTCTTATTCGAGCATCGTAAAGCAAAGAACAATAGTCAAGCGAGAAACGGTAAATCTCGGAATGGCTTTATTAAAGTGGGTTCTAGGGTGAAAACATGAGGTAACAACTGTACTTATAAACGTCAAACTGTATCGTGCGTTAAATTGTTTTAATTTAATCGAACGTTTCAGAAATGTATAGAGCGTAAAACCTCGTATAGTGACGCACATTTGTGTATGTTTGGCCAAAAAAAAAAAAAAAAAAAAAAAAAAACATAAAATACTAGTCAGTTACAAGGCTGTAATTTTAAATATGTACCTACCAATATGATTTCATATACAGAAAAGAAAGAATGGCCATCTGTATAAAAAGATGAATGACAACAGATATACTTAAGTTTCGATTAGAGATATACGAGAACACGTTTACTTCGTTGTATCATGTTTGATTCATTTCAAATAATATATAATTATTTGTATTGTGTACTTGAAAATTTTTATTCGTAGTTATATCGCTGTTTGTACATATCAGCGATTCTGTAGCACAATGATCAAACACAGTTTGATTACGGCCTTAGAAAGTATTGGAATTAGTATTTATAAATCATAATCATTCTTTATCTATATATTCTTTGTATGTACTACTTGCTCTTTAATGTGTATATCATCAATATTATTTTTACACTGTGTATGGATAAATAATAAAATTTTTATCCATATGATTTAGGTATCAATTCATTTTACTCAACAGTAGTATCCTATGTTGAATATTTATATTTTCTTAACAATTTCTATTAATTTTAATCCGTTTGAATTTTATTATAATTCTATATAAACTAAATGGGAAATGGCGAATCTGAATTTAACATAAAACAGTATAAAGTGTCCATAATTTTGCTTCACTTGCGCTTACTTCAGCGTTATTTTTAACTCGTTACGTTATAGCAAGGGCGAAATAGTGTAAAACGAATTCGTTCTATCCACCGTCGAGTTTCTGGACGTAATACGTTTGTTTAAATTGGTGAGTCCATTTAATTAAATCTACGTATAATAAAAATAATTATTTATATAAAAATGTCTTTGAATCTGATATAATTAACTTGTAATAAACTGCATTCAGTTGTGAACAAGGTTGATAACAGAATATTTTATATGGATTTCATTAAATGTCCAAAATATCAATCTGTAACGAGTTGTTGCGGTGGAAAAACGTCGATGGATAGGGAAAATGAGAGCAACGAACTTTGCAATAGAAATCTTACATTCCACGATCGAAAAAATGAAAATACATGCCCTGTTCTTAACACAGAATCAGTACATTTCACTAAAGATGAACGGTAGGTACTACTAGAAAATAATAATATAACAAAATATAACGGAATGCTTTTTTCATTTAGTTATGATGAATATTCGAATATGTCTTTAACATGGGGTATGAACAAGACAAATTCTATGTATCAATCTTCTTCTGAGTTACCTTATGGTATAAGATATGGAATAAATAGCGAATGCACACAGAAGGAAACTATTTCTTCTCTGGAAGGCAGGGGAACCAAAGAGTTCCACTGTCCAAGATGTGGTAAAGGAATGCAGGAACCAAGACTACTATCTTGTTTGCATCCAATATGTTCACCTTGTGTTTTGGAACTAATGAGCAAACGTAAGTAATCTGAAATTACAGAAAGAAGAATATAATCTAATTTAAATTATAAATTTGTATTCGTGATTCTTTAAAGATATCAGAATTCACGGTACCCCGTTCAGCAATTACTATGAAATATGTCCTTTATGTGATTTCCCATTACCAAATGCTAATTCTCCAATTCCACCTCCACATTATCCTCTTCAACATCGGCTAGTGATGAATGCTATACGTTCCGGATTTGCAAACAAAGTTCTTTGCGATGCTTGTACAGATGAAGTTATTGTGAGTATTAAAAATTTCTATCTACAGCAGGTATACAAACAGGTATACATTACAGCAGGTATACATATTGCTTTTAATATTTTTCAAGGCACTTGTTCAGTGTTCCACATGCCTTCGTAATTTCTGTTTAAATTGCGGAATGGAACATCAGCAACAAGTCACTATGGAATTGAAACCATTGAGACATACGATAAGGCCAATTTGGGAAGCTACTAAAGTGCGACGTACTGCACTGTGTCAAAAGCATCCCATTCACGCATTACGATTTTATTGCATTGCTTGTCAACAGGTTCATAATATGATCTCTTATTTATGTAATAGTTTCTTGTACAACTAATGATATTTTAAATACACCATTCATGTTTTAGGTAATTTGTAAAGAATGTATGTGGACTGTTCAACACAGAGGTCATGCAAGTGAAACAGCAGCTGGAGCTGGTAAAAGAGTTGCTTTATATTTGAAAGCAGTGTTACAACGAGCAAAGGCACTTTTAAATATACTCTTGACACAATATGATCAAAGTATGTTTTTGAACGGTACTTTTGAAGAAATGAAAGATGCTTTTGGTTCAATGGATTACCGGTATGTTAAACTGATAGTTCTATTAACATATATATATATAAGTATGAATTGTCATGTGATAAGTATGCTGTATGGTTTTTATTATAAGTTAAAAATTATTTCGATAAATTGAAAAATATGAGACTGTCATTTGAGGTACAAGTTAAACATTCCTATAATATATATAAGAGTAATATAGTAAAAATGAGAAAGCCACACCTATAAATTTTGTAATACTATTTGTATATAATAAATACTTATTTATAAGAATGATGAGATATTCATGAAAAAATAAAATTTATTTCAAACCAATGATGCTATATTAACAGCTGATGCACATATTTTTGAAGTATTAAGCAAGGACCATGATGCAAGACTGATCCACAGCAAGACCAATGATGAACACCAGGGTGTCCAATGTGACCATGCCCACATCCCTGATATCCACCTTTAATTAAACAATGATGTGAACTATTTCAAATATGCTGTTTATATTAATAATACCATATTACTTAATTGATTAATTATATTACCTGGCATAGTTCCTCCACATCCACAAATGGCTTCTTTTTTACCACCACTTGAACAGAATGTACAGCAATGATAGATACCAGTATGTGGTTTCAATATTGATGCTGCTGTACTTCCATTGAAATTTTCTATGAAGATTATTTTTAATTCAAAGTATGAAAATGAATCCAAGGGTTTGTATATTCTTCTGTTCAAATAAGTATTATTCTTACCTAAAGATGTACTAAACACTCCTAAGAATTTCAATCTTTTTATTATTGTGGGAGCAAGGCTTAATATTTCTACATCTGAACCATCTGCCAATAATTCATTTGTGACAGAAATTGCATCAAGAAGATGCCTTGCCCTTTTCAATCTGCTGAACTCTTGAATTCTTTCTTGTGCATGTCTAGCATGTGACAATGCAGGATCATGACTCCAAGTTTTCTTTTCATCATTTATAGCTTCATTAAAACATCTATGTTAAATAGATAATTGTTATATAATGCTGTTCGTATTCATATCCATAAATTATAATATTAAAATACATATTGTTGTATAATAAGTAAATTCTTAATTTAACACTTTGCATTGTCATGTAATAAGTGTTTGAAAACATGTTTCTGATTTATGTGAGATAGGTAGGTAGGTAGGTAATAAATACTTTATATCACTGTCATTTGAGGTACAGATTTCATACTTAAATTATACTTCAGTAAATTCTAAAGTCATGTCCTTACCTATGTGATTAGCTGTCTTCTGATCATGTAACATCATATATTGTATGCATAGCTGCTATTGTCATTTTCCAATACATACATGGCTTAAGTTATTACATTGTATAAAAAATAAATATAGGTTAGAATAGTTTCAGAATTATAAAATACCTCCTTTAAACATACAATTTAAATATTACCGTTTTTAGTAAATTATTTATTATGTCTGGTTCATATAAACTAGCTTAGGATTTGATATTCCATACTGTTTATGTTCAGAAATGTATGTACCCATCTGGGGTGCCTAGCATGTGGCCGACACCGGGGGTTGCACCCTGTGCCGGCTTTTATTTGAGCCGCGTGCAAAGGCGTCTGAAGCCCCTAATCCCGTCGCCAGGGGCCCGCTTTTGGTGATGAAGCCGTCATATCTAGTGTTGAGAGAAGGGCTGTATAAACCTCTCCTTGCTGCTCTTTGAGGCACTGACTGACAATGAGTAATGGGGTATAGTTTTTGATATCGAAGGAATCTGTTATTACCATCAAAGTGCGTTAGACTGTTGCAGTACTAAGTATTTCTGATTTTTATACTTGAAAAAAAGTATTATTAATAAAATAATAAATTAATAAGTATTGTATGTATATAACCGAGAAGTTATATACAATTTAAATATTTTATTTTTATTCTACTGTTTGCTGAAAATATTAAAGTTATTTGCTATCTAATAAAATATGCAGCTAATACTATCGCAATATACACCTATGACTTGATAAAAAATCTTAATAAAATAAACTTTGAATTATAATAGTATGTTATAAGCAACTACAGTACATCAGGTTAGGCTAAATTAAACATACTAAAGTCAATAATTGTTAAAAATAAGAATTGCTATGTACTGCAGCTAAGTGCAACGCCTAAAAATTCTTCAAATTCAATAGTAATGCTTCCTGTTTGGTCAGTATCCCTTACTCGAAAGGCTTCTGTAATAAAAAGTATATAAATTATTATTGTTATATGTATTTTTTACCCTGTAATTTTTATAAATTATTTACCTGTAAATCTTTGGATCTGTACACATAATACAATAAACTGATCAATAGTAATACAAGAATGACCATCAGGGTCACTTTTTTTGATGAGAAATGAAATAAATTCTGGACTAAGCCTATATCCCATTTGTGTTAATGCTGCATTAAGTTCGCTTTCTTGTATATTTCCTGAATTATCATGATCAAAACCACGAAAAACACCAAGCCATGCATTGATATAGTTATAAAGAGCTTGAAACTCAAATAGATCTATTGTACCACTTTTTTCTTTATCAAACATGCCTATAAAAAACAAAAAGGCAAATAATTCTAAACATTAAGATACATTATTTTAAAACATGTTTATACATTAAAAGGATTTTGAAAACACACCGATCATTAGTTTGCAAGCAGCATCTGAAAATGTTCCTCCCTGTCCATTTGCCAAAGCAGCTTTTAATTCTAAAGCAGTTATTCTTCCACTACCATCTCTATCCACAGCAGCAAACCATTGTTGTACTTCTGGAGATACTTGTGATTGGGAATCAGTTGTTCCATACATTGATCCCTGAAACAACAAAATGTAAATGAAAATTAAGAATTTTATTTATCTATAACAAATTTGTTTATCTGAAATATAGAAATGCACTTACTGGATATGCCATATTAACAATTTTCTGTCAAACAGAATTATACTTCACTATATTATCAATCACCATTACTACAACATAGAAGTTACTACTGCATATATGATGTTATGTATACTGACCACATTGTACCTTGATAAATTAGACACAATATAATGGTAGATAAAATGGTACTTAATCACGAAAACAGTTTATAATTAATTTGTAATCAATTTAACAAGCTAAACATATTTTATAAGCTTCAATTTTGTAGTTTTCCAACTATGCATTGCGCGCTCCGAAAATAGTATCAGTAGCGCTATCCGATGATGATCAGTGAAACTAATAAAGCAGAAAACTGTCTTTTCCTAAAAAATAGCCAATTTTTACGCTTTATTCATACAAATAGTATTTTCCATGATCATAATGTAACTCGAACAATAGTCTTACAATTCATTTAAATTACTAAAACCAAAAATTACAGAAATGTCATTTTATGGATCCTAAAATGTTGTATAGTCATTCAGCAGTAAGCAGAACATTTGAGGGTTTCTAAATCTATAACATTATTACATTATTACAATATGTTCTCTTTTGCTACTGTATTTATTGTATACTAATTAATAAAACAAACTTATTTTATGCGTATAATGCTTACAAAATGTATGTGCGGAGACGGAGGAGACCTGTAAGGTTTTATACAACGTCGGTATTTCAGATTGTATCACGAATTCCCATAAGATGACTGGTCTATCTCATACCTGTGGTTATGCATTTCTGAAAATTATAGTGCCATCTTACGAGTTGTTTGCGTTTATCGCATTCGTATGTATACATAGAGGGTAGGGTGTTCGGCAGTGTTCACTTTTACTGCTTTTACTTGCTTTTGTGACAGTAGTATTAAAGCAAGAAAAGAAGGCTGTTAGATTATATTTTTAGCTTTATCAGTTAGCTGCAGATTTAGATTTCAACATGGACGATTTACAGAATTATAAATTGCAACTACAACAGGTAAGATCGTTATTTATTGTTTAACCTAACTTAAACGATAGAATGGCGAGTCCATTTTTGGTGTATCTCCTTGTTTATGATGTTGCAGTTAAATGACTTTTATGTGTCACTGTTTCAGGTGGAAGCAGCTCTTACCACGGATCCTAGTAATGAAGAACTTTTAAAATTGAAAATTGATCTCGAGGAAGTAATAGAGCTGACACATGATTTAATTAAATCACAGCAACAGGAAAAAAGGCAAGCCAATGGCATGGATGCTAAAGATCCTATTTTACTTGCAGTTCTGGCCAATAAATGGAAGGTTGGTGATCAGTGCATGGCACCTTGGAGCGAAGATGGCAAGTAAGTAGTTGTAATGTTTGTATCATTATATTTCTAATGCAGAAAAGAAAGTCATCTATTTGTACTACTGATTGATAAATAAATCTGTTAGAGAGATAACATCTGCTTTACTAATATGATTCATTTTTTCTTAGGTACTATGAGGCAACCATAGATGCAATAAGCGAAGAAGGAGTTGTTAATGTAACTTTTAATGAATATAAAAACACTGATGTCACAATGCTCAGTCAGTTAAAATCAGTAGCCAAAAGGCCTGCATCAGATTGGGCAGATCAAAAATCAAAGTAAGTTTATGTTTGGATTTATTAATTTTATTTATTAGCAGTTATTAACATAATCCCCCCACCCCCTGCAATTTTTAAGCACATCTCAGTTTTTGAGGAACATTGCGGGTTAAGTTTTATGAGAAACAATGATTACTAATCATTCATTTTTCTCCTTATTCCTTTATTCCCAATTGGCCACGATAATCAATCCACTGTTTGGTGTGCTTCGAACTGAAATTCCATTATTGTTCATTTGTCTCTTGGTAATGAACTGTCCATGTACATCGCTGGGACCCAGGAAAAGGTAACAAGAAATATTAGATTTTTGTTGAAATATTGTTTTTAACTTTACATATCATACATGAATATGTATTGTATGCTAGATTAAGTTTAAGCTTAAATATAATAATAATTTTTAACCTTATGAAAATTAAAATCTTTAATACATGTATCTGATGCATAAATTTTATAATGATTGATATAATGTATTCATTACAGAAACATTTACATTTTCAGCAGTACTTTAAAAGTGGCAATGTCTCAATGAATCTTCATTTCCAGTAGTTACTTTCATAAATGATAGATTCATTAATTTGCAGAAAAATGCAAGCTGCTGCAGTAGCAGGCTCTGATCCTAACAAACAAAGAGAATACCTTAAGAAAAAGAAACAGAGAAAACTTCAGAGATTTAAAGAGCTTGAAGAGGAACGTGAAATGGAAAAAAATAAATGGCTAGCATTTACTAATAAGGTAACATTGATAAACAATTTTTAAAATCGATATAATAACTTTTTGGTTATTAATATGTTATTTTTCGTAATGTAGTCTTCAAAGAAAGGTGTAATTAAAAAGAGTATATTTGCAACACCAGAAAATGTCAATGGCCGAGTTGGAATTGGAACATGTGGTGTAAGCGGTCGAGAAATGACCAAATTCAGTAATGGTGAAAAATGGAGGAGGGGAGCATGAATGCTATTGTAAATATACAATTTAATACTTCGTGACATAGAACTATCAATTATTAATATTATTATGCTGAGTTCAGTTCTCAAAAGAACTGAAAACGTATGTTTTGTGTTGTGAAAATGGTTAATTGAGCACATGAATGAAGAGTGTTTAGTGGTTACATTTAGATCGCGCGTAGATGTTATATTATAAACGAACAATGACCTCAATTAAATCCTGAAATTACTTGGATTTTCTACCTTTCTGAAGTGGATGTATTGTTATGAATGAATGTATTTCTAGATTAATACATTTATGTGGATATGATTTGTTTATAATCTGTAATGGATACGAATAAATGTATATTTTAAATTCAGACTATATTTAGATATTCTATTTAATAATTGTCCTTGGTACAGTTTTATTTAGTTAATATAATAAATATCAGCGAAAAAATCGAATAATGTACTTTTTTAACAACACCCGTCTTGTATTATTTTTTATATTATTGTAATTATGTAACAAATAGAAAGGAATATTACTTTAATAACACTTTGTACTACACTGATTCTGCTAAGAAATATTTGATAAAGTATTGTTTCAAATATGGAGATACATTTATATTATAATCAATATTACATTTATCAATCGTAGTATTGATTATCATTTATATGCAATCGTAGGTATTTTATCTCTCGTCGGTACAACGCTGTAGAATGCAGTTCCAGCCTTTTTTTATAGATGGTGCTAGTATTCCAAAATTTGAGCCAATTCGGAACATGGAGGTTTTTGGAAGTTTAGCCATTGTCTATCTATTTATTATCGACATTACAATGAACATATTATTGTCAATTAAAACTAATATTCATAATCTAAATGCTGCAACTTCTTAATTTCAACAGTGATACCGGAAGCAGGTAATGAACGTTCGAAAACTTAATATATTTAAAAACAAGATCTCCAAGAGTTATTTAGATATTCTCATATTTTTTCCGGATACGATCAATTTCTAATTGACGTAATGTCGTTCTAGGATTTACCAAGTTTACTTGCTGGCTTTGCGTTTTCGTTCGTCGCTTCAGTGAATGCTCAATCGAGTGTAAGGGGTGTCTCTAACGAGGTTTTCCACCTGAAAGAGTTTCACGTTTTTTTAGAAACACTTTTGGAAAAACTGTAAGTTTTTATTAGAACGATAATTTTCTTTTGAAATTACTCCGCTGAAAAACAAGTAATTTATTATTTCCCTTACAGACTGATTTCAAAAAGATAATATAGAGTAAAGTTTAAAGAAAATTTTAAACTTTCCCGTCAATCAATTGAATTACTACTATGGTGGCTATTTACCCATCGTTCAAATGCAAGCGAAAAACCATCCACCTGATCCCTGCACACGCTTTTATTGCATTTTCAATTGAGTTAACCTGACAAAGAGGGCTGGAATATAATTATAATGCACAAGTAAATATGTATACTTAGAGTACAACAATAAGTGAACCTTGGTGAGAGCATGCGCGATATCGGTTTTTCTCAGGAACCACGGTGGTAAGTTCATCGGGGATGAATTTTGCAAAACCTGTTGTGTTCCCATTGTGTCGCATCCTCTTAAACGAGAGTAACAAAACAAGTGAGATAAAGTTGTTTATAACAATAAAAATCTTTAATCATGATACCTTTTTAATGTAATTTTTTAAATTCGCGTTTGACTTTCTCTGAAATAAATAACTTTTATTATGTTAACGGGAATAGTTAAAGGGTACGTTTTTAAAATTAATCATCGTTAGCATCGCTAAAATACAAAATAATTTTCATTAATTTAAAATATTTAACAATTTTTTCATTTTTTTTTTAGAACGTTGTTATGTTGCGAGGGTGAGAATTCTACTTGGAACATTATAACTGATGCGAACAAAAATGTTCTCCACGAGTCCACGTCCTTGTTGCGGATTATTTATAGAATAATGATTCCAACGATAGTGACCACCGGTATTTTTGGTAATATTTTAATACTCTTGGTGCTATCCACGCCGGTTTTCCGGGGAATCGCATACTTATACCTCAAGGGGCTCGCATTAGCGCACATCGGAGTTCTTACATCTTGGATCCCCATATGTATGTAACTATAACGTAGATAGACTGAAGATATAATATTTTAAAAGAATCAAAGTAAAAAAAAAAAAAAAATATTCTGTTTCAGTTGTTCGCTTAGGATACGGTATGAAGAACGATTACCCGTCTGCTTTCTACCACGCTTATTTAGAACTGGTCGTTGTGAACACTTTTGCTATAGCCAGCATTTTAATTATGACTTGCTTAATCATCGATCGATATATTTTTATTTTTTTCCCCGCTCGAATCCGCAGCAGGAATGCACGCAAGAGTGTCCGCTCTTTCGTCCTCTGTTCCTTCATCTTGGGATTTGCGGTATAGAAAAATGAATTATTATTAATCTAAATGAAATTAATACCAAGTAAATTGTTATTATAATACAGGCAAGCGCACCGTTGACTGGGATGAGAACGGTGTACGAATTGCGGGAGGGTACGGGTACCCTTTTCATGCTGCGTGAAAATATTTCCGTCACGCGGAATATGCTATGGAACGCTTACATTTGGATGATGGAAATCACGTTACGTCTCTGCCCGATGATCATTCTCTTTCTGTTAAATAGTTTCGTGGTGAAGAGGTTTTTACATCTGAACGCTAAAAAAAAAGAGTTCCAGTCGGTCTCAGAAAAGTTTCGCACGGCTAATGTTACTGACACATCTTTGTTAAGTCGGAATCGAGGATATATGTAGGTAGAAATATAAAATAAGTTTTATTCTAATTGTATAATCTTCTTATTGCATATGAATCATTTTTCAGGGAGGAACAACATTTAGCTACGCTAATGTCAGTTATGGCAGTGTGTTTCACGATAACAATGATACCATCGATAGTGCTTCCATTTGTATATCGCAGTTATGAAATTACAGACGTCAATTACCTTTTGTTTAAAGCGTCTGCTGCGGTCACTGAACTTTGCAACTTTGCTGTTCACATTGTTATATACTTTTTATGTAGCAAAGAATTTCGGGAAGAGTTCCTGAAAATTATTCAGGTAAATAGAAATGTAAGCAATTCAGAGAAGGAATAATGTCGTACAAGAATTTTTTTATTTGGAATCATAGAATAGATGCAAGAAGAGAGTTGTTGAAGAAGAATCCGAACGACCAGTGGGCGAGATTGAAGATTACAGTCGACACGGTACGACAGTTCGATTAACACCTGAACAGACGAAATTAAATTCCCCGGGTTCCACAAGCAAATTAAATGATATGGATGAAGATAAAGAGTCTGAAGTATTGAACGCCTCTGATATTTAAAGATTACCTTACTGTGAATAAAAAATATGGATAAATAATGTGAATATTGGCATATTTATTTCTTACACATCTTCTCTACCAAGAAAAACTTATGTTAATCTATAAAATAAAAACTACGAAGAAAAATTGTTAATAAATGCACAATTTTATTTAAATAACAAGAATCTTCCTTTCTAAAATGTTATTGATCTGTTTTTCCAATATTTTTGTATGCAATAATTTGGTGACACTAGTATCACAGACATACAGTTATCATTGAACATTATACATATTTGCGATAATTCTAAATAGTGAAACTCTTTCTTTTAATGACATAAAATATTTTATTTAATGTTATTTATCCACTCAAAACAGATAAATATTTACATGTTTTATATTATTGATTTAGTTGATGGTAGTATTTAATTTTTTTCCTTATCTATTTTACAAGCATTATTTGTACATTCTGCAAGGTTTTCCCAATGAAAATTGAAAAATATTCTGCAAATCAGTCTTTTCCTAATAAATATGTATGCAGACATAAATATATTTAAGCTTGAACTAATAGACCATAATCTTATCATTGTTATACAAGTATAAACCTAAACAAAAAGTATAGTTTAATATAATTTTAATTAAATGTTATATAATATTATTATTATCTTTTTTGTTTAGTTACAGTGGTACCTATATATCAAATAGATCTACTTATATTAATTAAATGGAATTTAATCTTCAAATTCATTTAATTCATCTTTTCCTTTGAGTATAATTTTTTTGTAAAACTATTATGTTATTTCAAAATTTTAGCTAAATATAAACGTTTGCAAAACTGTGAATAAAAAGATATAATGACATCATCTGTAAATTTTAAGAGGTAATAATTCACCCGGATACAAGACAAAACTTTTGATATATTTTTGAATAACTGTAAAACAGAAACGTTGCTGGCTTGTACAATGTGGCTAGATTAGAAATTTCGTCGTTTTTATAAGTGGACCATGGCTACCTTACGTATTTTGATGGGACGTACTAGTTTCCTGAAAGAAAACATAAATAATCAGTACAATTTTCAGTTTATTTTTGACGACTATTTCTATTAATTTTATATATAAAAACATATATAATTTGAACAAATGTTAAAGCTCGTGTCGGTTTTACCTGACAAAGGAGGCCATTAAAACTGTGCTCTACTGTGAGGTTGAAAAATGCAAGCAGCAATAATATTTTCATTAACATAAGATATATTGCATTTAGCTTAACTTACATATTACATAATTTTATTAATCATAGCGGTTTATAATAAATACGGAATATGAACGACACTAACTACCTACAATTCTTTGCCGTACATAAAATTATAGGAACTTAAACTCTTCTGTCGTTAAATCTTACGTTTTTTCCTATTGCTGTAATTGTATACACACAAATATCGTCTTGTATTCGGGAGAATAAATATTTCTAATTCGATAATTTAGCAATTCAACAAATAATTAATAGTATAATGTTTGTATAAAAGCTTGCCCACAGCAAAATAACTGTAGGTATGAAATTGGAATACATATGGTCCCTTCATTAAATATAGAAGTTTGCACCATATCAAAACAATAAATTGTATTAATTTGCGGTGTTCATTGAATTATAAATGTATTTGTTTTTATAAGTTGAAGTATGTAAGTAAAGTAAAAAGTATTAATATGAAAAGAAATGTACCACATTTTGGAATGATATTCAGAAATTAACACAAAGCTTACATGCTTATAAAAGTTACCATGTTGTTCTCATAATAAAGGACCAATGTTCAAAATTAAACAAGGTTGAGGATTCAACTATAGTTTCAATTCATTTTTTAATTGCATTTGGTTGATAATTTTTCTATACTCTGTTGTAGTTATTTTACTGGCAGTGTTTACTCCAGATCATCTTTTAAGCAGTTATATAACATTTTTAAGTTAAAAAATTCTTTTTGTAAAAAAGTAATATAAACATGTTCAATTTATAATGATAATAATAATAATAATAATAATAATAATACTTATAACAGGTAACAATACAGTCCTATGTTGTGTAAGCTTTTTATACAATTCGTTACTTTAAATAACTGCTTAAAAGTTGTTGAAGAGTATAAGATAGTAAATAATTCCATCAGTCATAGAATGGCAACTTCGACTTATTTTTGTTTTACTTCTGACATAAACATTTGGCACATCAATAGTACTCGCATCTCTGTTCTCTTAACCGTACTTATTCTCAAATTCTGAACGCGAAAACAAGAAATAAGAAAACGTACCCTTATCTATTTGCTTTTTTTTTTCTTTTATAATTAATACACCTTATAGTATAAGTATAAATAAATCCAAGACGAATTTGTCATTCCGTTCAAAATCAAAATATCTGTAAATGATTTGAGATATGTGAAACGAGTAGGATATGTAGATATATACCACGAAAATATAAGACTGTGATGTGAAACTTAGTGGTAGTCCATTATACAACCAATTTTAACGATGTTGTTCATTAGTTTTTTGCACGAGATATAGAGGATAGAGAGAAAGTGACGCACATACATATACATGCACATAAATTAAATATGTGTATATATATGCATCCGTATGAAATTTGCGTATGTTTCCTCTTTCATACATCTTACTTTACATTGGCTCGCGTCTTAAGGGCGAGGACTCGAACGACGCTAAGGGTCGCTGGATTAGGAGGGGTAAAAAGGGCAAGGTTGGGTCAGTTGGTGTTTTGTTTGTTGGAGCGAAGGCGAGCCAAGCCTGAACGCTCACCCTCTTCTTCATCTGATGTGCAAGGTGGTGCACCGCTAACTGCACCACGCGACGATGTTGCTTGCATTAATTCTTGGTCGGGACCATTTCGGTGTTCGTATAATAAAATATTTAATGTCTCTTCATAAATTCTGGCCTCTGGAAACTCAACCTATGTGTTACGAATCGAAGCTTTTACTTTTCTTATTCACATTTAAGATGTATTTCATATTATATGTTATATATTATGTTGAAATTTTAATATAATACATGTATATTTGATATTACCTTCGTGTGTTTCTTATCAGTTGTATATACAATAGAGTGGCAACAAACTTCTGCAACTTTACGACCATGGCCATAAAATGTCCAACAACAAATTTCACTGGATCCAATCACATCTTTAATAAATAATACTCTACCACTGAATCTAAGGGACATTTTGTCGAACAATTCTATGTTTTTTAACAGATTGTCATCTGATGTACTGTAAAGACAAGGCTTTTTGTATTTATTTGTTTTTTGTTTCATTGCATATAGCAATTTTTATAAAACAGGTATTATCACCTTGTGTATGAATATTTGTTATTGTGCCTATTAATGAGCAGCTTTACTACTGGTTTAGTAGTACTGCTAATTAACAACTGCTCCTCTCTTTGGGAAGTGATAAGCGGAACCCTACAAATAGGTTCTGCTTCCCTTTCCTTTCGATGAAGAGCTTGCTCACACGATTCAGCTAATTCGGTAATACAATAATACTTTGCTTCTGCAAGCAACTCTGCCATTTCTTTTGTGCTTTCTGGTAAAGGGACTGAACCGTCTCTTAAGAAGTTTAAAATTGTACCAAAATGTTTTCCACATCTATCAATTAATATCCATCCTGCAAATAAGATTTATATTATTTACATAAGTAAAAGAACAACATTTAATCTTATGCTTTAAATTACAACCAGGTAAAGAGAAAACTCATCTATTTTTTTTTTATAAATGAAAATGTAATTCTCTATTACATGTATCTTAATGAAGACTCATTAAAACCCTGTATCTTGTCAATGCTTAAATACTATAGTTTCTACACAAAATCTCACCTTCAGGGTCTGTAAGAATTTCCATGCGGCCACTAAACATAGCACGTAACATAGTGTCATGTTTTTGGAGTGTACCTAAAGTTGTATAGTGTAAGGAACCGCCGATATTGAGCTTGACGTACTCCGAAGGATATTTAATTCCCGCTTTATGATCTCCGGACATAACGAACGACAATGACGAAATATCAAAACGTTAAACAGTGACGATGATAAATATTTCAGCGAGAAAGTATATTGATTACGTTAAATGTCAAACCGAAAATATAACAGAGAAAGAATGAAGCGTTGCGTCTCTTGAGCGACAACGCAAGTGATAAACGATAACCAATACAATGATATTTTATGTCGCATTTATTAGTCTCATCTTAAATGTTAAAACCCTGTTATATAGCACGATTCACTACTTCTTTAATGTCTTACGACTTGATAAAAAAAATACACCCTATCGTACCCCCATTTTGGTGAGTGACTAGCACGAAGAAGCGAAGACTAGTTGGGAATACGCGCAAGCGCTACTAACCAAGAGTTTGATCGTTTGTTTATTTAAGAAAATGGCTGACTCTTTAGCAAAGTATGGGATTTATATTGACGACTTAAGTAAAATACGTGTATTAGAGCCAGAAGTGGCAAATCAAGCGAATAAACTTAAAGAAGAATGTCAAAATTTCATTTCGAGTGAGTTTTATAGAAGTCGTTACGATAACATACTTATTTCACATTTATGTGCTTATTTGGAAAGCGCGATTTGATTAGAGAATCATTTCCATAAGATTTGTTTCTTTATTTATTTAATTATTTGTTACCTTTTGTAGTAAATTCAATAATTAGCCGATAGTTTTTTGTAAAACAAATGCCTGTTCATTTACCACCGTAATTACTGCCATCTACACAGGTTGCCGCTTCTGGATAAAATTTTGATCAGCATTCCAATATTTGAAATAATGTAAAAGAATGATTAAAATATTTACTGTTATACATATTTGAATTTCTTATTTCATTACTGCACAGATACATATATAATTTATATTATTAGAGCTATGCGCTTTAATAAAAGTTTCATTAACATATATATATACATAAATAATACAAACGATTCAAAAACTTTACAATTATTATTTTTTTTGTCGATTAAACGGTTAAGTAATTATATTACTTTTTATTTCCCAGGAATTACTGAGTTTCAATCAAACTGTAATGAATTTATAGAATTAATAAATCAATTAGCAAATGAAGTTGAGAAAGAGAAAATGAAAACGATCGGAACCCGAAATTTACTTCGATCTGTTGCGAAAGAAAGAGACGCTCAGAAACAACAAATTCAGGTAATTAAAACTAAAAGTATTTTAATATACTATAATTATTAAATACTAGATAAAACAGTTTTAAAAATTGAATTATCCAGAATTTAAATAATGCTTATGTGTATTACTTGCAGGCACAAATTGTTGAAAAATCTATGGAACTTGAGAGACTTCGTATACAGTATGATTCTCTAAAAAAAATTGAAATGGAACAGATAGAAACAATTGAACACTTAACGGTCAATTAAAATGTACATTATATTAGTTTCGTAATTATGAATCTATCTCTATTTAACATATGTCTATACATCTTTATACAAAGTTGTGTACAAAAATCGATTGAAGTAGGAATATAAGTAAAACTACAAAAAAATAATTGAAGTGACATATATTATGAAACAAGATATTTATACATAAATTCATGACGAAGTTTGCAGTTAAGACGGTATCGGGGTTTAAACCCTTCTTAATAAGACGGCATCAAATGTACATACATATTGTGAAGGTTCTCAACCCCTGAATCAGAAAGGCACATTAGTTAATTCTGAGTAATACTATGTACTGCTTCTAGTATTCATATATTAATGATCATTTTGATAATAGTGTTACTTATTTTTTCGTTCGTAAGTTACTTTCTTTATAATTATAAACAACGTTTATATAATTACTCTTTACTAACAGCCGCAATTACATGTGAGCAGTTGTAGAAGGTGGAATAACAGTACAAAATTTGAAGCAATCTTAGACGTTGCAAGTGATTAATTTATATAATTATTCATCTACTAGCTATATTATGTTAACTGAATAAAAACTTTGTATGTTTTGCAAATGCACAATTATTATTATATCGTATGTCTGTTCTGTGATAAAAGTACTGCAATAAAATTTCAATCATGATATGAAAAAGATTTATCAAGTGTTATTTTTATATTAAAATATTAACAATGTTTTTTATTTATGTGTTGCAACCATATAGAAAGAAAATCTAAATAATTATGTAGACAATAAAATATGTAAGCCCACAGTGTAAGTCAAATGATTTAAATGAAAATAAAATATGTACGCTTTTCAAAACTTGTAAATAATTTTGCTATCCTCGTTTCTTTACATATTATTTATACGAATTTAATTTACTCCTAATACATACATCCTATTAATTTTCAATTCTCAAATCGTTCGCGTGCGTGTAAATATCTTTAATTCATAATTTTATTATTTTTTTTTCTTCATAAATAAATATTTTTCTTATGTTATTAATTTACGGAACACTTTCGATACTATGAGAAATTCGAAATGAAATTTAAAACAGTTTAAGTAGATAGTATTCCACAACACATTACATACCCTTTTAAACAGTACTTTTAGTACAAGATCACAAATTACCAACGCGCAATACACAATCGTCTTTGTTACACAATACGGTTTTTCACGTTTTTAAGATTATTCGCTCACCCATCCATTCAACCACTATACCCAGGGATTCAAAAATAAACTTTATTTCGTAAAAATAAGAAATGGTATCGTGTTGAATTACAAATATAAATCCTATAGTCTAAATTTATAAATATGTACAATTACATATCTACTATGGATGTCATCTAAAAACTCAAAGAGTATATTCCATAAATGTTGATGGAGCAAATGGGATGATGTATAATTAGGTTTTACTTAATAAAGAAAATCAAAATAGTCAACGATATTTAAATATGTAAAGTCGAAAAATTTAAAATTTATAAAAAAAAATGTTCAGTTTTAACATAACTGCTATTGTACGTGATGTTTATGAAATCTTACGAGGCTCTGACTTCCAAGGAAAGCGAAAAGACCTTTGGGTCATTGATTTCGTTTAGACATTAAATAGATCTAAAGGTCTTGACACTCTCCTGGTTAATAAATGATTTTAGACTGATTTTATTTTTTATTACTTATTACCTACCTTATCATTACTATAAAAAGTACTTATAAAGAGAAACATCGATTACTTTATTAATTATACAGAATGTTTGTATGACTGTCTTACATATTTTGTACAAGCTTTTATCAAAATGTTAGACCGTATAATACACTATCCACCATTAATAGGTGTAATTAAATAATTTTTAAATGTACGAATTGTAAGTTAATATATTAAAAAAAAAATAAAAACAAAATCAAAACAGAAGCAACGAATTATCATCCTCATGTGCTCCAATTTATCAGTCTGCCACCAATAGCCAACACTAACATACTTTACATGTTGTTTGATGTAACTGTTATCGATCACCATCGAGTATCCATTCGAAATTCACAGTTCCATAGAATTACATAATTTTACATAAATTCACATTCACTCATCTGTTTCCAGAGATCAGTTTATAACATTTAACACAAATCTCACATAGCTGCTTCGGTCTTAAGGCGTTTGCAAGATTTCACCGCATCATCTTGTATAACGCAGTCGTTGCTTTCTTCCGCGGATATAGCTGGTGATAACGACCTTTTAGCAGTACATATCTCAACGGTATTACTGTTTGTTACCGTATCAGTTTGTGGTTTAAATCGAATTATTACAGCCGTCATATTGTCGCAACCTGTACCATCTCCACAAGTGTCAGGTGCAAGGCAATGATCAAATAGCTATAATACAATATTTTGCATTAGTAACTAATATTTTATTAGTCAGAGTAAATAGAGAAAATAATTAGCTATTTTATACCTCTTCACAAATTTGAGATAGTTTATCGTGATTATGTGTCAAGCGGGAACGAATAAATTGTATAACATCTTGACTTGACATGAAATTCCAAATACCATCACAAGCAAGCACCATAAACTCGTCCTTTTCTGGTTCAATTGTAATATGCCTGACATCCGGAAGTGCCGATATCATTTGTTCTTGCGGTGGCAAATCTGCATTTTGTTTATAAGCATGGTCCCCGAGCGCTCTTGATAAATTAAGGCCACCATTTACTCTACCATCGGCGGTAACTTTTCCGCCAGCTTTTACTATGCGCTCCATTTCTGGTTCATCTTCAGGTTTGTGATCTAAACTAAGTTCAACCGCTTGACCATCTCTACATAAAACACAACGGGAATCTCCAGCATTTGCCACGTATAATTCATTCCCTTTTAACACAGCAACTACTGCAGTGCATCCACTATCATAACCCGGCTGTTCAAATTAATGATTCACGTTACTTAATTGTAAATCTTTCTTAATTACAAAAGTACTATCTTAACACAATATTACTAATAAATGATTTTGTTTTCATTGCTTCTTAACCGTATTTCTTTAAAATATATACGATGTAAAGAATTTTTCATACCTCTTCTTTATCCATCATGAGGCTCCCACTATCATCATCGTCATCATCATCTTCATCATCATCAATATTGCCATCTGCATCTTCATCTTCTTCGTCTTCGTCGCTTTCATCTTCGTCTATGTCTTCTGTGTCATCTTCGTCGCTAAAACTATCCAGGAAAAGTTAATATAAGATGTACCGATGATAATTTTGATTTTCTAAGCAAAGGTATACGCGTAGGTTTCTACCTTTCTGGAACTCCATCAAAGGTTGTATCATTTTCGTCATCGTCATCATCTTCTTCTGAATCTTCGCTATCTTTTTTAAGAAGATTATGGTATAAAGTGATAGGCTGAATCCTTCTTCTACCAGTACTGCTTATTCTTTCTTGTTGTCCCGCATCTCCGTTCTCAACCGGAATACACGAGCTGCTAGACACATTGTCACCTCCACCTTTACTGCTGTCTGCATCTTCAATTCGTTTCGATTCAGCACCATTTAACTCTACTTCATTTTCATTTGATTCGTCGCACGTAATTTTTCCTGGACTCGTAACTTTTTTGTTTATATCCTCAGAACTATCAGGCATATCTGCAGTCTTTATTGGTTCTATATCTGCTGTTGATCCTACCGGCGGGGATGTGTGTACATTTCCATTACTGGTAGTCGAATCAAGAACTTGTTCAGCCTCATTGTTACCAGGACACTCAGAATCTTTTCGTTCCATTGTGCTAGATAAAGTTGATCCGCATGGTTGACTGGAACTACTTACATCAGCTTCATTTGTATTCCACGAGGATGAAGACGAAGAACATCCTGCCCCTGACGACGACGAGCTTGCTTTCTCTCTACCCCTTCGTCCACGTAAGTAAGGACTTGCGGAACAAGTTCTTTTATTGCAGTTTTCATTTTTCAAAGATTTTACTTGAGGATTTGATTCCGATTGATACTTTGCCATTACTTCTTCTAATGGCATTGTTGCTTCCATACATAGATTATTAACATTCTCTTCCTCATCTATATGCAATGTAACGTATGAAGACAAATTTATTAGATTATATCTTTTTATAAAGAAATAGGTGGAGTAATTTATACAAATAAAAAGAGACGCACCAGATTCATTTAAATCATCTTTTTTATTATCTGTAGTGGATGTTCCTGCTAATTCTTTAAGAATACTAATTACTTCAGGTTTTTCGAGTGTAGCATCAAAGCCTAAAAAGGCATCTATTAAAGCTTGCCTAATATCTCCTTTTTTGTATGCCTCGGTTTGTTTAATAAAATCTGGGAGATTACTTGCACAGTAAGTAGCTACTTCGTGTCCCCCATGACCATCATATACAGCAAATAATGAAACATTTTCATCAAAATCTATACAACAATTATGTGCATCCTATAAACAAATAATTATATTACGAATGTATGCAATAATACTGTTTAAAAACACCTTAATTTATTTAAATTTCATATTCTTCTTATTTCATTTTACACATGTTTTATATTATAATGGATTCTATAAACACCATGAAAACTTTTGGGTACACTATATAAATAAGGTTATTTGCTACTTTAATATTATAACACATGTATATTTAGTACAGAAATTAAAAAATTTATTTTCTATACATAGGATGTATTAGGGAATCAATAGTATTACATATAATAAATCAAATCATTTTAACAAAAGCATATAATTAAATCTTTATGAAATATTGTTTTACAATTCTCGCATTTTATTTTCTAAACAATAATTATTACAAAATAGATCTATCACAGACAAGTGAATACTACTTTGGAAGCAATAATGCCCCCAGTTGCGTTACTTTCCTATTTCTAAACTGCAAAATAAAAAAATTACTTCGTAAAGTTTCTTGTACAATCATATCAAATACAATAATAAGTAAACGCGTTTTAATAGAGTAGAAAAGTCTCGTTAAATCGTGAAAACTTATGTTTTGTGAAGAACTTTGAAACATGGCAATGAATGCTAATAATTTTGCAATAGCAATGTTTTGTACACGCGCGAAACGTCGAGGTACATTCTCGCTACGTTTGGCACAGTATTTTCTGTGTTCTCGAATCGAATAGACTGAATTTCGCGCTTCGTGATATAGATGGATTACGTTTGCAATAGATCAGGATGGATGTCGTAATACCCTAGCGAAACGGTGAACCGGCAAACCGTTCTCTGACCGAAACGAAACTAGGTAACGGTGCACTGGCCGCTCGAGGGTTTTATCTTACCTCTTGACTAATTCGCCAGCCTTGCATGGAACTCGCGCCGAATGCGACATTCTTGCCTACTTGGTCGCTCGACACTTTCTTTGTAATTGGTTCTGACAAGTATGCACCCATTTTCGTTTAAACCGGCAATATTTCTGTTGATTCTCTGGCGTCCGTGTAATATCACAATATCTCGATGAAATTACTATTCGCAAGCGCGGCGCACAGTCGTTAACTAGCCTCCATGACCGGTTTGGGTTTCTGTTTTCACGGCGCTTCTGGCGCCACCTAGTCCGCCACTTTGCTCACATGCGCATTAAATTTTCGCGCCAAATTTTAGACACCGTAATGGCGTACGTGAGTGAACAGTGTTTAGTGCTCTCCTCGAATATTCTTTCCTTTTGTATGGTAAGTGAGTTTTAATTTACTTCAGTATACAAAAATAATGATTTTAGTACGTAGCTCTCTACGTATATTATATAAATAACAATTTACGAGCATATATTAAAAGGAATGATAGTCTTTAAATATGAAGTAAAGAGTACGGATCTACGTCAAGATTCGAATACGTAGAGCGTCACATGTATTCTTTAAAAAAAATATTCAAAACAGCTTATATTTGTTTACTAATACAAAATAATGACTTGTAAATGCAATATTTTAGCAAATAAGTACTGTAATGGGTAAAAATTAGGCATTTGTTGCAAATATTTAAGTAGCGTCATATTCCTTAAATTAGCAATCTTTTGTTTGCAAAAAGTTATCTTTCGTTTGAATAGTACCCATATCAATTGTATATTGCTATTGTATAATATTTTATCATAAATTCCTGTTCATCAATTACAGATAAGCAGAAAAAGAGGAAATATAAGGTTCCAGCAGCGTGGCATGTATAAAGTTGGGTATTACGCACAATATGGGGTAACGCGTCACGTGATGTCAACTGGCGGGAAGTTTAAAATGATCTGTAAGTTTTAACTTGTTTCAAACATTATATATTATGAAAGAATCGTTACTTATAAATACAGATATAGATTAATTGTTGTTTAATTAAAGTTTTTAAATTAATAATTAAAAAACAATGTAGCATAAATGTGCAATAAGAAATGTTTTTTTTATTAACATTCTACAATAAATTAAAAAAAACAATAATATGAAATATATTATTTTATTATTTCACTTGTCTGTATTTATATGTAACAATAAATTCTTGTGTATTTATACGATTCTTACGGATACTACTTTAATTTGTTCATAATTTTGTGTCTTTATGAATTTGCAATGTATTCTGATTTTATAAAATCAGTGACAAAGAGTTTGTCTGATATTTTGTATTAAAGTAATCGCGTTCACTGAGAACAATTGCCTTTATCTGTTGAATTTTTGATAGGAATGTATGCATCATATATTATCTAAGTAGTGATTATGTGTGAATACCACCCAACTATTATGAATGCAAATGATAATAGTTCACATTCGCTGCTGTTGCATACTATTTAGAATAATCTCGTTTCTGAATACCTGCTTCCAATGAATTCTCTTTTAATAAATTTCTTACATGCTACCCCTTTTGTATTTTTGGTCTTTCAAAATTTCATATTTCTCTTTTTTACCGAAAGCGAGTTTTTCAATTTTAGAATTTTAGAATCCTCTAATGTTTAAACTTTTAAATTTTCGAAAGTTCAGAATTTTAGAGGTGGAAAGAGGAAAGTTTACGTTGTATCGTATAGCCGCGTTGTTAATATCCCCACAAAAGATTTAATCAAACAGAAAAGTGTGGATGAAACACGGAATTGTTTTGGAATATCCGGTGAATCGATTGTGTACGAATCCAAAGGAAACGAGATCAGTAGGTAAAATGGGGGAGAGTGAAGAAGAGAGATGCTATATGATTATTGAAGTTGGATATACCGAAAGCAGAGTCTGTTATTCGATCAAAAAGTTTCTACCTTCGTATCACGGTTAATTTTACATGGATCTGGGGGAAAAAAGAGAATAGGAGGATAGAGGATAGTAGGGGGAATTATTCTTGAGGTCGAACGTATTGAAAACTCTGTTATTCAATTAAAAGTTTCTCATTCGACTAGAACATCGTTAAATGTTTCATCATTTTCAAAGAGAAAATTTTAGATAAAAAAACGTGTTAAACGTAGAGAATTATTTGACGAAATATCCAGTTAATTTCATGCCGATTCAAAGAATTATTTCACTTGAATGCACTTTGTTCGTTAGATTTTTCTAAAATTTCAATAGATGTATAACTTTTGTCCGGTATTGTATCTCGGAAATACAAAATGGTATAGATGGGCAGATATCTTTGAGGGTTGGTGTATATCATTGTCGAAGTCGGATGTACCGAGAGCCCTGTCTCCTTTAATGACACGCGATGTGTAGCGTACGGGTGGCGTACGATCCAGGGAATGGTGCACCCGGACGTCGAGGTCGAGGTGGTTGGTGAGGATGGGTTTGTGTGTTGCGTGATGGTCGCCGTTTATCGATTCGCGCCGCTGTGAGGAATGAAGCCGTGGCTAGCTTGCTCTATGCTCTATAGTATATCACACCCTTCAAAATCTCCAAATTTTTTCTTACAAACGCATCATTTCAAATTGTTGCGTGATATCAACGAAAGTAGCATCCCCATAGAGTCCCGTAACCTTTTCTTACGATCTCTCTTGATATCTGGTATATTCTGTTACATATATTTTCTAGCCACTGTATTCCGTATTCCATTCATTCTTTTTCTTCAATAATAATTCATGATTATTCCTTAGAGTTCTTATAAATCATTGCAGTTCGAATTCTTTTATAAAATTATTTGAATTGTAGTTATTTTAATGGACTGTTGTTCGAGCACTAAGATCGTTTATATATTTTATAAATAGAAAAGCGGGGAAAAGAATGATACACAAGAATATAAACATTGTCTGTTAATGGAAAAGATCGCGTGCACGGGAAGTGAATTACCTTACGGTACAAACGTGATACACTCAATGAATGGTTGTTAACTGAATGAAACTCACCGTAATATGTCGTATTTTAACTTAATCGAAATATTATGCGTCGTTTTTGCATAAAACGAACGTTTTTACCGGAACGATTCGCTAGGAAAGAATTTGTTACGGTGCGTGTCGCGTTTTAACCCTCGGATGACGACGGACCACGGAGAGAGCTTCAATATTAATTTAATTTTCTATTTCATATTATTTTCATTTTCTATATTTTATACGGTTCCTTTTAAAAATTACTTTTTTAATATATGAAACTCTTTTGTTTTAAAATTAACTTGTTTGGGTCACGATCGATCCAAGCTCCGTTGTTCAAGGGTTAAATTCATCTGAAATGTTTTATCTACACGATCCAATTTATTTTTCTAATTTGTAAGGTCGTTCGTATAATTTTTAAGCAATCATAAATGATTCCAAATCAATAGTTAATTGAATTTCAAGGATCGGATTGTCTTTTTCCTTGGAACCACATGCGTTTCACGTTCTATTTGATAATAATCACGTATGCTGCGGCGAATCTAGGTCTTCGTGTTCATGAACATCCTAGGAATACACAGTGAACACACTACTATCCTATTTACATAACAAATGCGGGAACACATGATTGCATCGTACAATCGGAAAAGATCGTGGAAAACCAATGCTACGATTCGAACGCTTTTCGAATAGGAAATTATTTTTAAATATTCTACAATTTTTATTTATAATGCTAGTTTACAAATCCCATTGAAATCCTTTTTTATAGTATTGTCTACACGATTTGAAATAAGCTATTCTGCGCACGTTAGCTCATTACAAACACGAGAGTCTAGTTTATGGTGTTATCTGACGATTTCTATGAAAACTTTCGAAAACACCAGGATTGAAGTATATCGGGAAGTGGTCCATAATGGGAGCACTTACCTTAACTTGAATTCGCTGTTGTTCACGAATCGATAGTAGATTGCGAGATCGATCGAATAAATTGCGCTTTCGCGGACCAATTTAAAATTACGCGTTCCAGTCTACGCGTAATCGAATGCATTGTACCATAGAATTCGAGAGAGCACCAATAGAATTCCAAGAAACAGGGGAAAAACCTACTTTAACAAGAAATGTATTAATTAGGGGTTGAAGAGACGTAGGAAAATAATGAAAAATTAAACTAATAAAAATCGATCATTCCCCTAATAAAAAATCATGATTTTTTTCCTTATTTCTCTATAAAGGTCTCTTTTAATTTCGCATAACGTCGTAACGCAGAAAACGAACGAATCTAACGAGTCGTAGAATTTCGATCTAACAGCCCTGATTAACCCTCATCTTTCAATTTTCCACGCACTTACTGGGGAACTAGCGCAATAAACCGCATTAGACGAACAATTTCGAATTGAACCGACGTTGAACGTGTTCACCATCGAGTTTCCTTCTGCGTTCTACATCAGAGAGGAGAAAAGAAAGAAAAAGAAGAAGAAAAAAAAAAGAAACATAGCTTTTCAGCGATCCGCGCGATGAAATCGATATTTTCACAGATCGCTAGTCAGTTTATCGAGGATTAATTAATCGCGAAGCGTGCGTCGACACGGGAAAGTAACGAACGAACGTTGAAAACAGAGAGACGACGGCTGGATGCTCCCTGGCCTCTCGTCCAAGTCGTTATAATTAACTCTGGTCTTTGAATTTTCCGCGCTCCCGCGATTGTGTAGACGAGCGCGAACAGGGGGTAGGGATAGGGGTGGATGCTCGGCTACGAATGGAGGGGGAGTTAAAGTAGGGGAAGAAGTAGCGAGGGTTTACGGTGGAGCAGATAGGTGTCGCGTGTCTGTGGTGGGGGGGATGACGGGTGCGTGCGAGCGCACGATCCCGCCAGTTCTTCGGTGAGGCTCGAAGAGGCCAGGTCGACCCTTGTCTCTGCTCCGTTCGCATCAATGAGAATCATTCTCTGCATCGTTCTGCGCTCGTTTTTTTTTTCATCTCCTCGATACCAGTGATCACGCTCGTTGATCGATTACCAATCGATTAACGTCGACACACTGTTAATAAGTCAGTGTGTCGCGTGTTCGTGGTGATACGTTGTGGAAAGGTCAAAAGTCGTGTTGCATGTTATTGTGACCCAGGCCTGTTCCTCGTCCCGATGTACTGGTGATGGTAGATTTAGAATTGTGAGCAGCAGGATTTCAGTGTCATCCAGCGGCATAATCGTCGTTTACCTGGTGACTGGTAACACCTAGAAACCGCTGTGTACCTCCGCGGCCTAGTGACCTGACCTTGGGTCGGCCCGACCAGGTGTGTATATGTTAAATCCTCGCACCTACGTTCCCGTATCGTAAGCATCGTTTCCCGGTGAAACGCGTCTCTTGCGGTTCACCTCTGTACGTCGTTTCAGCATGTGCTTACGGCGAAAAGTGGCGATGGCAAAACCGCGATTCTAGATAGAGTTCACGGTGTTACCGCGACACTCGTACAGATCAGCCTCGAACGTTTAATATAGGTGTACCATCGCGCACACCTCCGGTCGTTTTGTTTGGATAAGAGGATTCTGGTCGCGAGTGTTTGTCGGCTCGCATCGTTTCACTCGGTGTCTCGTTTGCGTAACATGTCTCGCGGTGCTGTATAACGTTGTCCTTCGATATGACAGCCTTTTGGGATGTGTACTTGCAAGAGTTACAGAGACACGCGTAGAGATACCGTAACAGCTTTCCACGTTTGTTCAAACATCACTTTAGCGATTAATAATGGTTTTTAGCTTATTCTGGGGTAGATACAGGTGTTTTATTTATAGGGGTTGAAGGATTCTTAAAGAAAGACGCTGATTATTAATTTTTAGAAAATATTTAATAACCATCGGACGGCGGACCATGGAGAGAGGCCCAATTTTAATATAATTTTGTATTTCATATTATTTTCTTTTTATTTAGTTGAATACAACATTACTCGATGGGTCATACATTGTGCAAGTTAGTTCCAAGTACTTGAAAATTGAGATATTTTATAAATAAATAGCTTTTTACTGTAACAGTTTTGCGATACGTCTTTGATAATCGTTTATAGAAACTTATACCTTTGAACAATGGTCAAATATGCTCTTTCGATATTCAGATTTTTGATAAAAATCTCGTACAAGTATTAGAAATTGAAATGTTGAATGTTTGTTCTTGTTCGATGTCGCGTCTATGTGGCGGAATACATTGATCTGTTTCACTGCGTGAACGGTACGGAGTAGTTGTCGGTTTAAAAAGCGACATGTACTACTGTCGTTTCGAATCACCGTAAAGGACGTTTCCAAAGAATGCAATATCCGGCAGATGGTACAAAACTTACGTCAATTCGAAGTTGTTCGAGCGAAGAAAAGTGCTTTCAAACTTTAGTCTCGTGCATGAGTTTGCTAACGTAAAACAAATATTTCGCTGTGGAATAGAGCCAACTGATTTCATGATTACCAGCGAAAGAAACTTGTATCAATGTAGTTTTCTTTTACTACTTCACAATTCAATTAACTGTAGAAAAAGCAAAGGTACTATACAATTTTTATTTCCCTCTATAGTTCTTTTGCTAACTTGCAGAATTATCAATTTTTCACAGAGATAATTTATTTTTATTTTTATTAGATAATCTTGCAAAATGAAGTAATTCTATTAGCATTGCTTACGTTCAATTAAATTTTGATATAATTAAAACTTAGCATTCGTTAAAAATTATTCTCCTTCATTCGCGTACTTTCGGAGCCTTGATTATTGCAAGCATTTCGTCCACGATGCCTTAATTCGAGATTGCCGGGTCAATGAAGGAGGGTTGGCAGAAAAACAAACGTTGAAATTCACTTTGTTACCGCGACGGTTTGTAATTAGAACGCAAGCCGTCGACTTTTCTTTCTAGTTCCATTGTTTTCAACCCGTACGTAAGAAACCTGAGCAAAGTCGTTGAACTCGAAAAGCTGATGAGCTCAAGAAAGCGCAAGAAAATTCCTCCTCTTGCACGATTTCGAAAAACTTCTTTAGCCAATTTTCTCAGGGGATTGTTTTTTCTTCAGTGTATTAGAAACACGTAGGAACTTCGAACAACAACTAGTCTATTTACCTTGATCGATTATCCGAAAATTAAATTTTCACGATGAAAAATAAATGAGAAAAGAATCAATGAAGGCTGGTAGAAAATTAATTACGCCAATCCTGTTGTTATCAATGTTATCATGTTGCAATTATAGTGGGGGTGTTTCACGGGCACGGTTTACACGAAACTCAGTAGCGGCATCGCGATAAGTAAAATTTACCATGGAACGTACGAACGTGTAACTAAAATGCGAATGTAATGCTAATTACGGTCCTCCGGCTAGTAATCGGATCGATAATCCGATTACACGGAATCGTAACGCGAAAAAGCCGCGAAAATAACCAGTCGTGTAAACGCGTGATAATCCTACGACTTTGTAATTATCCGTACACCATCTCCTATAATTTTCATCAATTCCATGATAAAGGTTGATAAATCGTGCTCTCTCGATGTACCTGAAAACGTCGACTTTAACGAGAACGGCACACTTCCTCGCGAGACATTTACAATTTACAGCGAGACAATGCCAACGGATTATTCTTAATTTAACGAGAGGAAAATATCGATACGTCAGTTCTATAGTTGTGCAAGACGTGCACATGCAGTTTGCACCGATGCAACGTTTTGTTTACCCCGGCGCGGCGTTCTCGGTCAATATTACCTTTCTGCCGTTTCTCTCGAAAGATTAGGAAACGAATCTGTTTCTTTCTCGGGTAACTTGTTTGCCTTTCTATTCGATTTTCGATCGAGTTATTCCTTTCTTCCGGCGTATTTTCTAATGTCACGCGAGTTCCTCGCGTGTCGAGAGAAGTTGTTCCGTTAATATATCAATGCAGCAAGTTGCAGAGTTTTCCTGAACTAAAGTTTCAGCCAGCCTGTCGTTTAACGCATCAGAGATTGCGATTTACCGTGGGAGTTTTCGAGAAACTGTTAACCCTTTGATACTGTATTTATTTTTGAATTGCCTACAGCAGAATGTAGAACGAGGTGTTTTGAAATTTCTGTTTTCACCAACACGTGGTTTTAATTCTGAATAATAACACAAAATTTCAAATATATTTTCCGATGTGATATACAGAATTATTTTGGGTATAGATTTGTTTCAAATGAAATTAAAAAAAGGAATTTGTTTTCACAAGTGCATCGATGCATTTGCATTATGCAAATGCACATCCTTCTTCGTTTTGTTTCGAATTAGCTTAATTATTTTCTTCTCACGTTTTTCCATTTGATGGAGATTTCATAAATGTTTACGAATCGTTTCCGGTTTAATGGTTCGGTGTTAATGAGGAATTGTCATGGCGTCCGGAGTCGTGTTTATCATGGTTGTTAAATGACTCGATTACAGTTGAGTTACGGTGGAACGGATTAAAATATCAGGATATCTCTGTTTTGAGTAATTTCGTGAAACAATGAACAGTTTCGTGGACTGTTCGGATTGTTCTCTAAATCATACAGTATAAATTATACTAATCACTGTACCTGTTCGATCCTTAATTATCAATCAATTTCTAATCTCTAAATACAGCAGCCATTATTTGTTACAAATAGCTGGACAATTTTATATGATTTAGGTAAATTTTGTTTTATACAAATGACTCAATTTCAGTTACAAATGAATTATTATTTAATTAACCAAAGACTGGTAATAGAGTTGACATTTTTCAAAGGAAATTAAAAGGAGCAATTGATAATGACAAGGAAACGTTTTAATTCGACTGTTGATGGATAGTAAAAGCATTTTTAATTAACACAGCGAGGAAAAAAGGATACACTTTTCGAGGTGAAACTCAACGATAATTTCATTCGTACTTTTCCACTCGAAACTTTTTATTACTCACTATCGCCAAGTTTGATAACCCAGTCGTATCCGTCTGTGCCTTATAATATCACGTCTCGCAGTTCGTCGATTCTCACGCAAACGTGCCAAGCTTCAACACGTGGTTTCCGTGAAACTAAATCGAGTAGACTGTGTTACTTTATTTCTCACCCTCTAGGAACGAAATTCTCTGCATGCTCGCTTAAATCCACTTATTGTTTTCGTTCAAATCAAACTTAAAATATTGTCTATTATCAAATAAAAAAAAAAAAAAAAAAAAATTGTTTAAATTCGATTCTTTGATCCCAAAAAATATCCACTATACTCGAGCCAAGGATCGAATGACTACGGTGTAACGTTAACGAGGACTCCATTCATTCGAGATATCTGCCATTAAGAAACGTACGGTGCATAGTTTCTAAACGGCATAGCAAGTCGAAGAAGTAATGGAGAATATTCAAAGTTCGTACGATGCTTCTTTGAAGGTTTCGTTCCTAAAGTTCCTTGCTACGTGTCGCGCGATCGTGACACTTTAGAAGTAACTTCGTTCCAATTGAGGATGGAAACGTCTTCGTGATCCACGTTACGAGATTATCTGTGTCTTTCTGTCTCCGGACGTGCTTAGTGCTCGAGGATATATTTCTTGGCCAAGGAACTCGGTGCTCGAAGAATTTTAAGTTCGATCAGTTTACTTTTTCCCACTCTCGGTTTTACGTCGTTTCTATCAGTCTGTAAAATGGTAACATTTTAAGACACCCAAAGAATTAGTCTACAACTTTATCTCACAGTTTCCAAATTTCTGATAATTCTCTCTGATCAAACGAATACGAAATTTTTATTATTTCATTCAAATTTCAAGTTTCAAGCTTACAATTTGCTATTTCAGATTATTTGTATCATAGCAATATTATTTATAATAATATTTTTCTATTAATTAAGTTTTCTTCTAATTAAGAAATTCATTTTAATTAATTAAATTGTAATTGTAATTGTAAAATTAATAAAATCTCCTCACTAGTAACTTAGAAATAAGTAACATATTTTTTTAAGTAGTTCAATTCAATGACTGCTGCTCCAAATTTAATATTATTTAAAGTTGATTCTATAATACCATACGAATACGAAATTTTTATTATTTCATCTTCAAGAATCGTGAACAAGTTTGAAAAAGTGAGAAAAGATGATTGCCAATCATCTTCTGCGATCTCGTACTGGCAGTTCTATGAATTTCTGCATTCTCCATGCTATGGCCGCGGAGAAAAACGATCCCTTAACCAACTGACAAAGTGTGCTGACGTTGCCACTGGGAATACCTGGGGCTACTAGTTGCAGCCGGTAGCTTTGCCCGGTGTTGGAACGAAATAGCCAAGGAGATGGCGAACTCGGTCCGTTGTACCTTGGAAGGGTCATTAAAAGT